GCCCTTCTCCGTTTCTCAAGATGGGGCGAGCCAGGTCCACAGAGCTCCTGGCCCTGGCCAGAAGCAGGAGTGTGATGAGGAGGCAGCCTCGGCGGGCAAGCAGCTGGTGCTCCGAGCACAGGAGAACATGCTGGTCAGTGGGGGGGTCTGTGGCCTTCGCCTCAGCAGTACTCTTGCACGCCACCCTCACGTGTTTGTGCCCAGACACAAACTGCATGCCTGACCCTGCCATACCCTGTGTGAACACTCCCACCAGAGACCCCACACTCAGCATCTCTGCGCGAGTGGCTTACACAGGCACGGACATGCGTGCACGTGCTCCAGAAATGTCCCCAGACTTCCCTTTCCCTCCTGGTCCCCACTGCCGAGATGCTGGCGGAGGCTGGTGCATTCCTGTGAATACCTCCACCTCCCACACAGACTCCCTCCTCCTCCTGTCCCAGCTCAGGGGAGCCCATGGGGTTGCCATAATTGTAAAACACTCCAGGGTCTAACATCATTTTTCCTCTTCTGACAAATTATCAGTCATAATTGGATCCCGGATTTTCAGTTGGTGGGGTCCGGAAGGTCTTGGGAATGCCAGGACCTCAGTGGAAACCATCAACTTCTCTGATGCAACTGGAATGAAGGCTGAGTGTATGCACACCCATATCTGCGCAGTGGGCTCCCAGGGTGTGCAGAGACAGGCTGAGGGTAGACTGCCCGGCGGGGTGCCTCACCCTGTCTCCTACTTCCCCTCCTGCTTCAGAGGCTCTCTTTCTTCCTCTCCTTGGAGGGCTTCCCTTTATGCTATGCTGTGCTACCTTGAACTCTGCCAGGCCCTAGCCTCCCTCTGCCCATTTCTGGGTCATCGCATCCATTTCCAGAGCCTCAGTGGACAGCCATATTCTTCTCCCTATCCAATGTGTACTCCACTGTGTACTGAGGGCCTGCTGTGCACCAGATGCTGTGCTAGGTGATGGAACTCCCCAAGGACCTCATGATGGAGGTCGGGGAGACACGGATCTGTAGAAGGCAGATTGGCACCCCTGACCCACTCTGCATTTGCTCCCTTCAGCGAGTTAAGTGGAGGGGAAGGCCCAGAGCACAGCCAGAGGTTCTGTTGCACCAGAGCTTCCCAGGAGACATGGCGGTTCGCTACCAGGCATTAAAAGTCCTTGGCAGCTCTGGGGAAGCCCAAAGGTCCCAGAGAAAGGACACCACATAATGATGCTGTGTCTCACCCTCCATGTGCTAACAATGCTCAGGTTTCTGGCATCTGGCCAGACTCCACCCATCCAAAGTGAACTCAGCTCCCCCAACCTTGTCCTGCCCCCACCTGTGCCTCCTTTTTATAGTGGCATTTCATCTCAGCAAATACCACCCCAACCCCCTTGCCCATGCCCAGACCTCTGGCACCCCTTGTCCTAGACCAGTTTCTCTGTGACCAGGCCAGCAGGCCCTGTGGGTGCCCCCCCCATTTCTCTTAATGCTGTTCCCCTTTCTTCATCCCTATACCCAGGTTTGGGGCTAGGACAGTGGTTCTAACCCTGGCAGTCAATCAGTGGCTTTTCTTTTTTAGATAGATTGGGTCTTGCTGTGTCACCCAGGCTGGAGTGCAGTGGGATGATCATGGTTCACTGAAACCTTGACTGCCTGGGTGCTCAAGCGATCCTCCCACCTCAGCCTCCCAAGTAGCTGGGACCATAGGCACTGCCACCACCCAGCTAATTTTTATATTATTTGTAGAGACAAGGTCTCATTATATTCCCCAGGCTGGTCTTGAACTAGGCTGAAGCGATCCTCCCACCTCAGCTTCCCAAACTGCTGGAATTAACAGATGTGAGCCAGCTGTGAGCTCCCAGCAAATTAGTATCCTTGACAAAGCTTAAAGGCAAAAGATTCCAGACCCCACCTCCACAGATGTGAAGGTCTGGATGAGGCCAAGAATTTGTTTGTTTGTTTTTGAGACAGAGTCTCGCTGTTGTTACCCAGACTGGAGTGCAATGGCACGATCTTGGCTCACCGCAACCTCTGCCTTCTGGGTTCAAGCAATTCTCCTGCCTCAGCCTCCCTAGTAGCTGGGACTACAGGCGCACACCACCATGCCCAGCTAATTTTTGTATTTTTAGTAGAGATGGGGTTTCACCTGGTTGACCAGGATGGTCTCCATCTCTTGACCTCGTGATCCACCCACCTCGGCCTCCCAAAGTGCTGGTATTAAAGGCGTGAGCCACCGTGCTCGGCCAAGAATTTGTATTTTTAACAAGTGTGTCAGTCGATTCTGATAAGCTTGTACCGAGGACCTGTGCTGGGAGCTAAGAGTCCAAGCATCATCCTATCCAGCCTCAGCTGCAGCCTCAGCCCCTGGTCTGGCATCCTCTCGTGTGTGCCCTGCAGCCCTCCTCCCTGCCAGGTCAGTGACCTGTCAGAGGCTCCTCACTGTCCTCAGCACACAGACCAAGTCCTTCCTCAGCTGCTGAGCCCACCCACAGCCCTGGGCATTTGAAGTGGTAATGGGCAGCTTGCTCATGTCCCTTCCCCTCTAGTCTGTGACCCCTGAGGGCAGACATGACTTGTCCCTGGCACTAGCAGCGTTCTGGGCAGAGTAGGTGCTGGGCGGCGCTTGTGGAATGCAAACACCAGGTAGGGGAGCTGCTGGGCTGTTGGCTGAGCAGGGCTGGGTCCAGGAGGGAAGGAGGACAAGCTCCAGGTGGGGAACTGCCACCTGCCCTCTGCAGCCAGAGATGACACCATGTCCGCATCTGCTCAGGTGAACGTGTCCTTCTCGCTCTCCTTGGAGCTGCTCTCCTATCAGAAGCTCCCAGCTGACCAGATGCTGCCTGGGGTGGACATTCAGCAGAGCGCGAGTGGAGAGAGAGAGATGGTGTTTACACAGAACCTGCTCCTGGAGTACAACACCCAGACCACTCAGGCACGCCCCAGGCCCGCCCACATGTGGGAGGGCGGAAGCAGGCTGGGCTCTCTTCTGCTGGGGCCAGAGGAGGAAAGACCTAGCAGGGACCTCAGAAATAAGGAACCCCCACTCCTTTCCTGGGGCTCAGTCTCCCCTGGAAGAGGCCCTGTGTGCAGAGAGATGAAGGCCATCCAGCCTCATCTGCCTCATGAACCTAAAGCCAGGTGAGGGGCCAGAGTGTGGGAAATCAGGGAAGGCTCCCTGCAGGAGGTGGCATGTGAAGCCTGTACACTGTTTAATCAAGGAAGGGAAACATGTTGACGACCAGGCCAAAAGAATGGCCTGATGGGTGGGGGCAGTGAGCACCTGAGGCAGCTGCCAGGGACAGCCCTGGGCCTTGTCAGGCTTCAAGCACCAGGACCAACACCATAGAGCAGGTCACCAGGCCGTGGTGCAGACACTAAGCTGGGGCTTCTAGTGAGGAGTGTGAAGGAGTGACCTGGGGAGGGCTCGAGAGAGGCTGGGGCAGGTGGCTGAGCAGTGGAGCTGAGGTGCCCCAGCCTGGCACCCAGGCAGCTGCTGGGGCCGAGGTGGTGGGACAGTGCATAGCATAGCCTGAGTGTGATACAGGGGCTGCCAGGAGGTAGAGCAGTGCACAGGTGGGGCCTGAGGTCAAGAGACACAGACAGATGGTCCAGGGCCTGAGAAGAGGGCTGGGCCTCGGGGCCACCATAGGAGGAGGAGGGGTAAAGGAGGGCAGCCCAACCAGCCAGGGTGCAGGGCCTGGAGCTTTATGAGGGAGGGAGGGAGGGAGGGAGGCAGGGATAGCAGGGGAATGGATGGCGTCACCCTGGCCCTTTCCCTGCGCAGACTCCAGCCCCTGGCCTTTGAAGATAACACTGGCCCCATGCCAACTGCTGGGCACTTCCCCTGCCCTCCTCAGCAGCATGAGCACTTGGGGTCAGCAGGTTCCCTGCATCCCAGAGGCCCTGGCTTAGGCCTATCCAGAGTGAACAAGGCGGTCTGGGCTCCCACAGGTGGTGCCCCTGCGGGCCGTGGTGGCCGTGCCTGAGCTGCAGCTCTCCACTAGCTGGGTGGACTTTGGGACTTGCTTTGTGAGCCAGCAGCGAGTCCGAGTGGTCTACCTGATGAACCTGAGCGGCTGCCGAAGCTACTGGACTATGCTGATGGGTATGTCCTACCTTCCCACTTACCCACTGTTCCCCTACAGGGCTGCGCCAAGAAAAGACCCCCAGGAAGGGGCCGCTGTGCCCTGTCCCTGCATGCTGGCCCCCAGGGCTGGTACCACGTGGAGTTTCTGCAGAACAGCCAGTCCCCCAATCCCACATGATCTCAGGGTTGCCCTGCCCTGCGGTGCTGAGCAAGACCAGAGGTGCAGACCTGGGGGTGGGCGAAGTCTTCCTGTAGTGGTACACCGGACTGCCTGAGCTCATGTGTCTTCCCTTCCCTTTGCTGCAGGCCAGCAGGAGCCGGCCAAGGCCACTGTGGCCTTCAGGGTCACCCCAAACAGTGGGCTGCTGGAAGCACGATCCACCAATGCCCCCCCAACCTCCATTGCCTTGCAGGTTTTCTTCACTGCCAGGTACAGCCCCTCCCAACCTCCCCCAAACTGCCCACAGGGGCTGGACCCTGCTGCCCACACCCCTCCTAACTGCAACCCCCACATTCTCCCCACAGCAGCAATGAGCTGTACGAGTCCACAGTGTTGGTGGAAGGTGTGCTTGGCGAGAGGTCCTGCACCCTGCAGCTCCGGGGTCAAGGCTCTTATGATGAGAAATATGTGACGCCTCCCCAGCTCTAAGGTCTGCCCCAGCCCTCAGCCCCAGGCCCCAGCTGTAGAATAAAGGTTGCCAGGGATTAGGAGCAGACCTTCAGCACAAAGACACAGAGTTGAGGCCCTCTGAACAGCTCCTAGAATGGAAGAAGAACTAACTCCCTTCCACAGTGGTCTCAGCCTAGGCCTTCATGTTTCCTCAGAGCCACACCACAGTAGAGACCACTGCATTGAGAATCACTACGCACACTGTATAGCGAAGACCAGTATGGTCCAATTCCCCTTGGGAGAACACCACAGCCACTAGGATAAATTCTTGCACATTTACTATGTCGGCTGCGCTTCTCATTCATGAATTCGCCTTGCCCTGGGAATTAACCGTGGCCTTGTGGCCTGCGTGACCCAGGCTGCCTTTGTCTTGCACAGCTAATGAGGGTCTGATGGGTGCCTCAACACCCCACCCACTCCTAGACCATGTCAGCCATGTTCACATTTTCCAAACGAGTTGAAGTGCCTTGATCTGTCCGCCGCCACCACCACCAGTGCTGAGTTTTCCCACGTGGTTTCGCTTCTGTAGTGCTGCTGCCTTGCAGGACTGTGTGGGCAGCGCCTCCAGCCTGGGCCTCACTCAGTTCCCAGGGTATTCAAAGACAGCAGCAGCTCCCATTCCAGTCCCGACGCACATGGACACTACGCCATATGCCCTGTGAAAACAAAACTGAATTGGCTGGGCAAAGGCACCCACCCAGCTATCTCCAGACCAGGCTGAGCCAGATGGACTTCATGGACGAGTAGGATGCAAAACCGTCAGACCAGACCTGTGGGCAAGCCGTGCCCTGGCCTCCCACTTTGAGCACATACACAGTGGCAGATGCCCACTGCAGGCTAGTGTCCCTTTTAAGGCTGGTCCTCAGGGAAAACAGAGATCATGCCCCTACATCCTCAGTTCAGGGTGTTGGTGTGTGCATGTTCCCTTCCCTAGGGAACGCTCATAATCCCAGAAGACACAGTCCCAAACATCATAATCCCAAATGTTGAAATCCTAAAAGAACAAAATCCCTAAAGTCTAAAATCCTGAAAATCGCAATCTTAAAAGATCAAAATCCTGAAAATACAATTCTGGAAAAAATAATGTGGAAACCTGGCATAGTGGCATCTACTTGTAGTCCCAGCTATTCAGCAGGCTGTGGCAAGAGTATCACTCATGCCTAGGAGGTCAAGACCAGCCTGGGCAATACAGCAAGACCCCATCTTAGAAAAAAACTTTTTAAAAAGATTCATTTAAAAGATATTTACATTTTTAGGCCAGGCGCAGTGGCTCAAGCCTATAATCCCAACACTTTGGGAGGCCAAGAAGGGCAGATCACTTGAGGTCAGGAGTTCGAGACCAGCATGTCCAACATGGTGAAACCCTGTCTCCACTAAAAATACAAAAATTAGCTGGGTGTGATGGCAGATGCCTGTAATCCCAGATACTTGGGAGGCTGAGGCAGAAAAATTGCTTGAACCCAAAAGGCGAAGGTTGCAGTAAGCCAAGATCACGCCACTGCACTCCAGCCTGGACACCAGAGTGAGACTCCATGTCAAAAGTATACGTATATGTACATTTTTTAAAAGGGATTTATTTGAGAAACAAAAAGAGAGTACTTCCCAGGCTACTTTACACAATACAATAGGTAACAATTACATATTTTAGCAAGCATAAACACTCAGGTATGCTAACAATAGTCACAGGAGTATAACAGTTATAAACAAACCGTATTCATAAATAGGTGAAAAAGCAAACTCTGTAAATGGCTGGTAATCGTGTGCACCCAGCTTTATAACTGCAGTCATATGAATACAATGATGGCGAACCTATGTCTTTTGATGAGATTGATCAAAATCTGTGATGGAGACAGGCCCTGTGGCTCACACCTGTAATCCCAGCACTTTGGGAGGCTAAGGTGGGAGGATCACTTGAACCCAGGAATTTGAGACCAGCCTGAGCAACATAATGAAATGCTGTCTGTACAAAAACTTAGCTGGGTATAGTGGCACGCACCTATAGTCTCAGCTACTCGTGGGAGGACTGCTGGAGCCAGGGAAGCAAAGGTTGCAGTGAGCCAAGATGGAGCCACTGCACTTTAGCCTGGGTGACAGAATGAGACTGTCTCAACGAACAAACAAACAAACCTGTGATGGATCACCACTGCATATGCAGTCACCCAAAGAACCAAGGTCGTGAGAAATTTTATCTTTCACAAATGCAGGTACACAAACAGAACACCTCTTCATTTACCGAGGAAGTTTCAACATTTTTGTGTACATGCACAAGGCTTACAAAGTCAGTGTGATAATACACTTTCATGGAATCAAATTTCTGATGTCCCAGGCAGAGAAAAGGGTGTCCCACCTCTGTGTTTGTTCTCTCCAGGGCCCCAGGCAATTAGATGGTGCCTGCCAACACTAAGGGTGGATCTTTCCCACCTGGTCCACTCAAATGCATCCTAACCTCTACAAACACCCTCACAGACAAACTCAAAATAATACTTGGTCAGGTTTCTAGGTGTTCCCAAAGTTAAGTCCATTCCTTGTCAACTTAGCACCCACTCACAACTCCTTAAACCTTACTTAATTTCCAAATAAAGGCAATAACAAGGTGATGGTTGCATCATATTAGTTATACCATATAACACGGTGACGATGCACTGCCCTGAATACGATAGAAAATGTACTGATCCCTTCTCTAGAATGCACAGCATGAACTCAACAATAGGATTTCAACATTCAGGATTTTAATCTTCTGAGATTGTGACTTTGGGGATTTTAGACATTAGGGACTTTTTTTCCCTTGACTAGTCAAGTGTAGAAGTAAGAAGTACTCTTAGATTAAGAACAGGGAGTTTGATCTGTAATTGACTGACAATCAAGATAACACACTACCTTTGGGCCAGCCAAGACCTTAGGGACTTTGATCTTTGGGATTTCAACATTTGGGATTATGGTGCTCAGGACTGTGTTTGTTGGGATGATGATCCAAAGCCCCCCTACCTCTATCCCCTACCCTGCAGGTGCCCCAACTTGGGTATCCCCCCACGACCCCCCACCAGGAGCCAGCCTTACCTCTTCCCACGGCGCTTCAGCTCGTTGAGCAGTGTGATGACCTGTCGTGCCCCAGTGCAGCCCAGTGGGTGCCCCAAGGCAACTGCACCCCCCAGAGGGTTCACCTTCTCAGGGGGGAGTCGTAGCTTCTCCACACAGTAGGCAGCCTGGAAGGAGGCAGATCATCATTGTAGCCCTCTAGCCCCTCCCCTGCACCACCTGCCCGCTTGCTCCACCTGGACTATCCAGGGCCAAGGCAACATGGAGAACAACAGCTCACCTGGCTCGCAAAGGCCTCGTTGATCTCAAAGATGTCCACGTCACTCACAGTCAGCCCTGCAGGCAAGGTAAAGAGCTGACCTGACACGCTGGCCCTTTACCAGGACTCTGCCCCATCCATGGGCCTTCAGGCTGCCTGGTGTGTGTCTCTTCCAGAAGGGTGAGCCAGTCCCAGCTGTGGGGTCAGGACGGGCTTGGAGTATGGGACACTCGTCTGCCCCACCTCCATTCTGCAGCACCCACAGGATCACTCCCATGTCCCTGGCAACAGCATGCAGGGCAGGTGCAGGATCCAGGCGGGACCCAGACAGCGATGTGAAGGAGCCACCTTACCTGCTTTTTGTAAAGCTACCGGGATGGCATAGGCAGGTCCGATGCCCATGATGTCAGGTGGGACCCCAACCACTGCATAGGACCTCAGGACTCCAAGGATGGGAAGGCCCAACTCTTCTGCCTTGGACCTCCGGGCCAGCAGGATGGCAGCTGCTCCATCACTCACCTGGCTAGAGTTTCCTAGGGGAAAATTGTTGGGGTAAGGGATCAGGGTGGGGCCGAGGAGATCCCAGTCCCCCGACATCCACTCTGTCTGCAGAGGGGCCTAGTCTATTCCAGGCTCCCAGAGTACAGCACCCAGCATGGCCATGGCCTCGTTCCTCACACCCCCACCGCAGACCAGTCTCACCAGCTGTGGTAGAACCGTCCTTCTTGAAGGCAGGCTTCAGTTTGGCCAGCCCCTCCATGGTGGTGCTGGGGCGGATACCCTCATCCTGGGTCACAGTGATGCTCCTCTTGGTGCCCTTGTCATCATGGACCGTGGTGGTCACAGGGACAATCTCAGCGTGGAAACAGCCCTTGCTCTGGGCTCTTGCTGCCCTGCCAGCACCATGGACAGCCAGGCTCAGGCTCCCTTGGGGTTCCCTTCCTCCCTGCCCCCAGTGCCTATCCATTTGGGTAGATGCAAGCTTAGGCTGCTAAATTTGGGGGCATGCTCAACTTTGGGGGAGCTCTGAGGGTATGGCAAAGACCTTACAGGGCCCTCTTCATCCTCAACCCCAGACCTCAAAGGGGAGAAAGGGTGTTTGGAGGGGTGCCCCCACTTAGAGCCCTTTGTCCAAGAGGGGCTAAGCCTGCTCCATTCTCTCTGCTAAACTGAGGGTGGAACCCCAGAAATATTTGTGCTGGGTTCTGCCAACTTTTCTGTTCAAACCGAACAGTTCAAAGTCATCTATTCCCCAGTTTCCACATATTTTAAGTGACATATACTAAACTATCAATGTATTTTTGTATTGAAAGAGTTTTAAAGCACAAGGTATTTAAGAGTGACCCTTGAAATCATGTGCAGCATGTAAGTGCCCAGGGACATTCCAGTGGAAGGAATCCAAGGCTTCCGACACATTTTCAAATGGTTATGTGACTCCAAGCAGCTAAGAATCACTGCATCAGAGAAGCCCGCCTGGCCCAGATACCATCCCCTGCTTTTGCTGTCCTCTCTCTGGACAGCCAGGACCTGCCAATCTTAGCCTGCCTGAGCCCCTGGGGTTTCCCTGATATCACCCTCAGTTCTTGCCATAGGATGCTGCCACAGACCTGGCATGGTCCGGAAGCTAGGATGCCAGGGTTCCTGGTATTGCTGACCCCACGCTCCAGGCTACCAGGTCCAATCTCCAAACCACGGCCAGAAAACAACACATGGGAAAGCTGAGGCCTCACTAGGGCAAAGACTCAGGGTGAACAGACCTGGAATAGAACCTGGAAGCGCTACCAACTCACAGTGGCCCTGACACTTCCCACTTCCCACCCCCAACCTGGGAGGCCCGAGGCTTGGAAAGCACTCACTGCCCAGCTGTAAGCAAAAAGGGGCTCCACTTCAGATCACTTAGATAGACTCAAAGCCTCACTGTCCAGCCCTTTAAACAGTCCTCTCCAAGCAGTACTCACTTCTGCTGGGAAGCCAGGGCAAAAGTATCCTGCTTCTCCCGTGAAATGCCAAACCGCTCAGCCACATTCTCAGAGGTTATTCTAGAACACAAACAGCAGATAGTGTGGGCACTGGTCTGACAGCCTAGGGGAATGGACCAGGCTGCAGAGCTGTGCTTAGAACTCTGGGTTCCCAAGGCTGTAGGCAGGAGAGGACGGAAAGGCCGGTCCATTGCTACAGGCAGTGGTGATGACTCAGGATGTGGATATAAAGACTCAGAGAGGAAAGTCAGCAATGCTGGCCAGATCCTGAGAAGGTCATACACCAAAGAGACCCTCTCCCAGAGAGAAGGCAGCCTGCATGGGGGAAGCTGCAGAAGAGTTTGTTCCCTGGGTAAGCGGCCTCAGAGCAGGGGAGACAAGGAGCAAGGGAGGGTCTGGGTGGGGGCCCTAACTGGCTACTCCTGGCCAGCTTCTCCTATGCCTAAGGAAACCTGCTGCAACGTAGGGAGGTGAGGACTCCCAAACCTCCTCTAGAAAGGCCAAACCTAGGCTTTCTGGTCCCCTTGGCTGGAGCCTATGCTTATCCTGAGAACCGAGAGCCACAGCTAGGCCTTCTGGCCTGGGCTTCTGGCTTTACAGGCCTCCCTTGGAGATACAGTGTGTGAAACAAGCCACGGCACTGCCCCTCTCCAAGCCTCCGTCTCCTCAGCTATCTCATGGATCCAGGACTCCTGGCCCACAGACTCTGGGGATGGCCCAGAGAAGCTAAGTTGTTCCATACAAACGCCACATACTTTTTATTTTGCACCTGACAGGGCCCAATTCCCCCACCGGCATGTTCAGTAATCAAAAGCCTCCCCCTGCCTTCTCAACTTTCTAGGCCCCCAAGGCTTTGGAGTGGAGCTACCATTGTCCTTCCTATGACTCAGCACCTCAGTGTGGAGTGACAAAATGGGCAATGGTTGGAAACTCAGGGGCACAGAGAGGACCTGGGGGGCCTCAGGAAAGGGAAGTCAAGGGTGGCTTCAACTCTCATCCCCAAAGTCCCTGCAGAGCAGACCATGCCCAAAGCAAGGAGGCCAAGGCTTTGCACCGCCAGCCACAAAGATGACAAAGTTCTTCCACCCCCTGCTCCAGGCAGAGGGCACAGCACACAGAGCTATGGGAGCGCTCACCCCATAGGAATCAGGCAATCTCTGGCCTTCTCCTTCTCCATCAAGCGCGAAGTAATATTTCCAGGGTTCCCTCTGTCAGCCAGGGACATGGACTCCACCCTGGGGAGGAGGAAGAGGAGGAGAAGGTAAGGTGAACCGGGCCCTAGCAGGACTCCTCCAGGAATAGCTGTACACTTGGCAAGTGCTAGGAAATAGCCAGGGAGCCCTAGGAAGTCCAGTGGGCCTCCGGGAGCCACAGGTAGGGCACCTGGCCGGCAAGGCCCAGCTGCGAGTATAGCACTGCTGAGCCCTGTCTCCACTTCGCCCCCCACCCCAGCACAGAGCGCTGCTCAATAAACACTCCTGGGGCAGGGCTGTGCCTCCCTATACAACTGCTCAATCAGCCAACTGGCAAGTCCAGAGCAAAGCCTTCCGGTGTGAGCCACAGAAGAGGAAACACATCCACAAGCCCGGGCCTACCCTCAGGGCCCACAGATTCAGAGGGGACAAGAGAGAATTTTAAAGTAATCACAAAGCTGAGCTCAAAGGGTGATCAGACCTACGTAGATAAGGAAGTGCAGCCAGATGAGAGGAACGAGGTGGTGCAGTGTGGTCAAAAAGGGCTTTGAGGAGATGGGAGACCCTAATGCCTCAAGGATGATAACAGATAACTTTGGCTGAGTGCTTTTCACATGCCCAGCACTATTGTGAACTCTTCAGATATTGGAGTGTGTCAGTGTCAGTCACGTGACAAATACTCCATGGTATAAGTTGTTGCTACTACTCCATTTAATCTTCTCATCAACTTCAACAGAGCTGAGCTAGGTATCCCCATTTTATAGATGAGCAGACCGAGGTCTAGACACTATATAATTTGTCCATGGTCACCCAGCTTGGATCCACATTTAGGTAGTCTGGCCCCAGAGCCCACTTCCAGCTAGAATGCCCTGTGCTGTATACTTGCTGATCAAAGCCCATGGGGAACAATCTGCCTGGGATGTGGGTGTCAGGCCTGGCCCAGATCTTAATATCCTAGTACCACGGTCCTTGACCTGCTTGGGAATCGGATACCCTCTAAGATACTCATAAAGGCTCCAGCCCCTCTCAAGTTATCCACACCACCTCTCACCCGGTCAGTTAGAAATCAAAGGGCAGTGGCCCTTGCCCAGCCAAAGTCCTTGTAGAGTGGTTTTTGGCTTTATTTACAGCTGCAGACACAGGTCAGTACAACTCAGTGCCAGGTGCCATGGCCCTGGGACAGGGGCCAGCAATGCTTCCTCTCAAGAAATACTATAAAGGGGATGTGAAAGGCAGCGGGGACATGTCAGAATCCTGGGGCTGCTCACCTCCCCCAGCCTGCCAAAGCCCTTACTCCCCTGCCCTCCCAGCACCAGATGCCCACCCAAGCCTGGGCCCCAGTGCCCTGCCCTTCCCTGGAGGCACTGCCAAATACAACTTCTGCAGCTCCATTCACTGCAGCCAATGATGGAGCCACAGTCTAGGAGGAGGTGACACTGACCAAACCACCACAAATCTGATCATGTCCCTCACAGCCCATAGGCAGCTGGAAGTTTCCACACTGGTACGAGGGTGGCGAGACAAGAGGACAGACAGCCTAGTAAAATGAACAAACTAGTGATACAGTAGGCAGCTGGCCCTGGCTTTAGAGAGCCCAAACTGCAACTTCTTTCTCAGCAGCACCGTGAATCCACAAGGGCTACAAACAGAGACCCCAGTGCTATATTTTCTCAAAATGCTTTCCCACATTTTCCAGCCTGAAAGAGTTCCAAGAAAGTAAGCTTTTAGAGGCCAACCACCCGCCCCTGCTAGTGCTGAGAGGTGTGAGTGAATCTGGCTGCTCAGAATCCTGAGCAGCCAGAGTTGGGAGCCACTCCTAAGCTGCATTTGTGAGAACCCACTCCCGACCAGCTGCCTAAAGGGGACGGGGCAATCCCGAAATCATGGCCCTCTGAGAACTCAGGAGATGAAAATTAGTTTTATTGTCACAAGTTGGTTAAAAGCTCCGGCAGAAAAAAGTTCTTACCCACAGGCCATGCCAATGTCATAAGACCCATTTCTGATGCCACCTGCAACAAAAGCATTTCATAAACACCCTTTGCCAGAGTCTACCTGTTCCGGAAGCAGTGGAGCCTCTTCCCCACCTCGCCTCTAGATGGGACTCAGCCCTAGCCTCAGAAACGGAAGACCCAGGAGTGTTCAGAAAAGGCTTGGGGCAGTGGTAGGGGCGCTCGTGCCCTCTTTCTGTGGTTAGAGTCCTCTCAGAAATCCTTATTGCTTGCCCAGCAGACAGTGACGTTGCTGACCCAAACCCACAGGTCCAGGACCAAGGCACCCACCCAGTCAACTTACCAGCTATGCTGGCCACTGCCTGTAGCCCCGATGAGCACTGTCTATTGACAGTGGACAGAGGCACAGTCTCCGGGATGTCACTGAAACAGAAGGTGAGACAGTAGAATCAGCCCCCTCTTGCATGCCGGCCTCTCATGGAAAGCAATCCTGTGCCTCTAACTGCTCCCCTCAAGTGATGTAAAGGGCAGGGGAACATGGAGGCCAGCAGCCCAGATCCATGGAATGAGGGCGGGCAGCTACTGCTCACCAGGTACTTGCTCCCCAGGATCCCATAAGCACATTCCCTTCCATTCCTATGAGTGTCTTCAATCAAAGACCCAGCGCAGCCCAAAGGGAAGGGAAGCCTGTCTGGGCCACAGGGATCCTTCTCTCTCTCCCTTTGCAGATTCAGAAATGAAAACTATGTATCTCTGTTTCCCCCAAAGAACAGAGAAAAGGTCCTGTTGCTGGGACAGAGGACCAGAGCAAAAGCAGTATCTAAAGTCTGAGGCCAGGGACCTTCAGCCTTACCAGTAATCACACAGCTAACCCTGCATGTTCCCATGGACTCCTGGAAACCTGATCCCACCTGGGTGGAGAACTCTGACGGGCATCATGTGTTCCAACATCTGCTGCTCTGCTGTGTTCCCCAAGACCCTCACACCAGTCTTAGCCCTGGAAGCTAGTAGGGCTTCCCCTTCTGATGTAACCTGCCTTGGCCAACAGCACAAAGCCCTAGGGAAATTCCCAGACCTCCTCAGACCCATAGACTCAGAACCTGAGGGAGTGGAAGCACCCTGGTGATTGCGGTGTGCAGCCAGAGGTGGGAACCTCTGAACTAGGGTCCAGGCCACGCTCTGCAGAGACTCTCAGGCAGATAGCCTCCTGTGCAGCCTGTGTGACGCCTCCAGGGTCCCTTAAATCCCTAGCTGGTAGTTACCATTCCTTCACTCAACACACCAGGTGTTCGCTAAGTACCTACTTAGCACAAGGCATCACCTGAGGGATGCTGAGATGCACATAACACTGTGCCCTAGAGGATGCCCAACCAACACACGGACAATGAATCAACTGGCAGAGATTGAAATAACAGGGCAAGAGGGCAAACCACATCACAAGGAAGCACATGGCTAGCTAGCTACTACTGGACTGGAAGGGGCTCTCATTTTCAGCCTGAGAGCCTGGATAAGTCATGCCAAAATGGTAAGACTATGTTTGGGCAAGGTTTAGCAAGGGCAGAAAGAGGTAGGGCTAGCACTTCGAGGAGACAGAACGGCCGTAGCAGGGAGGGCAGGAGGCCAACAGGCCAGCTGAACGAAGAAAAGTCAAGGTGCAAGCAGCTGGGAGATGAAGCTGGAAGGCAAGTCTGGGGCCAGATTGTAGGAGGCTTGAACTACAGGCTGAGGAGTGTAAATCTCTCCCAGTTCCAAGAGGGTTTTCGTTTTTCTGTTCCTTCACTAGCTAATGTTTCTATTTATTCTTCTCCATGTACCTGAAAGTACAAAGCTGAGCAGGTCTTAAATCTACATATGAAAATAATTTAAGCACTCTTTCCCCTGCAGGTGCGTAAAGGGAAGTTTCCCAGGTCTCCTCCTGGTTGTCCCTCTTCTCCACGGTTCTGCCCTACCCCAAAGGGTCTGCCAGTGGGTTATGACTGGAGTTCCCAGCTCAACTAGTGAAAGGCTGAAAGTCCCTTTTCAGCATGCTTACTTGGTTACTCACGTGACAAATGAGGACAGAATCCACACTTACAAAAGGCAAGCAACAACCTTTTGGCTAAAATTCAAGCCACAGAGAAGTTTTGCTCGAGTGTCAAAGTCCTTGTGCATCCCGGCTCAGCACCTGGAGGGCTCACCCTCCCTTCAAAGTAGGGGAGAGGTGAGTCCACAAGAGGAGGGAGCCAAGGACTCTGGTTGCCTCATTCTGGCATCCAACCTGATCCTCCCCAACCTGCCGGCTGAGTTCCCTGGGCCCTGGGCCCACTAAAGTGTCAAAATGGCCAACCCATGGCTACAACTAGAAAGTTTACCTCAGAAACTGGGCGATTCGGGCCATGATTGCCCCGGCCCCGGGCTGCAGCACATTTCCTGTGGACAACAAACTTCCATTCAGTGCCAGGTGTGGTGTTCTGGGCACTAAGGTATAGCTGTGAAAACCAGAGATGAGACGTTCCAGTACTTTCTTCAGGAACACTAGCCGTTGGCATCTCTGGAACACCGGGGTTTGGAGCAGGGAGAGCCAGCCATACAACAGCTTGTCCTGGTTTTCCACCAGCTCCTGTCCCCGAAGGTCCCACTCTCACTTGCCCATGCACCCAGCTTTTCCAAATCAGCACAGACGTGCAGGTTGCCTGCCTTTAAAAGTGACATGGGAGTTTCTGAAAATGCACATCTCCCCAGGTGTCCTCCTCTGAGCCCTGCTGTCACCCCAGAGGATTGCCGACCTAGGGGTAGCATCTACCGGATAAGACTCGCCATATCATGTTGCTGTATCTCAAGATGAGGGGTGGAATAGAGCGCTGGACTGAAGATCACGGCCATGGAGGTTCCCCCAGTGAAAACTCGGGGTAGGGAAGTGCGGAGGGCACTGGACAAACGGTAGAACGGGGAGGGCCCAGCGCAGGGCCTGGCTGGTGCGCTCACCGACACAGATGTCCCCCAGCTGTTCCGGCCGCAGATTCACGTCCTGGAGAACCGCGGTCATGACAGCCGAGAGAAGCTCGTCGGGGGTGGTGTCCTGCAGCGAGAGGAGCAGCTGCGGTGATCCCCACTCCCCCATGCCCACTCCAGGGAGACAAAGCGACCACAGCTGGGTGCGGAGCTGCCTCCGGCATCCAGGGAAACCAAACATACGAGCGGGACCCCAGCCCGCGCCCGCATCTTCCCACACCGGGCGCCCAGACCCTCAGGCCTCACCTTGAAGCCGCCGCGGCCTGCCCGGCAGATGGCGGTGCGCCGTCCGTGCACCACCACCACGTCCGCGGCCGAGGCCTGCGGGTCGCCGCTCGAGCAAGGCGCCGCCTGCAGCGTCCAGCCGGGATGGGGCTGGCCAGTCAGGTGGCCCAGCACTACCTGCAGCCTCTGCATTGCGCAGCTCGACTCTACAGAACTGACCGCAGGAGTTAACGGACGACCGCCTGCGCACGCGCAGAACCAGACCTCAGCCCACTTGGCCTAAACAGCCAGGCAAACAAAAGTCCCGCCCACCTTCCGCCTCAGCCAATCACAAGGTGACCCTCCCCTCCCGCCACCGCCTACCGAGCCCTCTATTGGAGGGCCCGCAGTCACCGCCCAACCGAGCTGTCCACTCAATGCCCCGCCTACCTTGGCCTACCGCAGCCAACCAGAAGGTGGACCTCTATAAATCCCCGCCCAGAAAAGCAGACCGGAAGCCTTTCCACCTTTTGTCGCCAAACCCGAGACCAGACCCCCAAAGCCCTGCCCCCTGCCCGCATCCAAACGGACTGCTGGACCGCCAGGACCGCTTCCTGCTTGGGATGGAGGTGGAAGCCGGGCCTCCAAGTCCTTTACCCACTTCCTGGTCGGCTCTGCTATCTCTCCGGTCCCAGTACCCAAGCTGGGGACCTAAATACTTCCGAGACGCCCGAGTCCTACTCCGACGTGGCTGGGCTTTCTCATTATTTCGAGAAGACCGGGAATTTGGGCTTTCGGGCTGGCCGGGAGAACAGATTTCACAGAGGGGCTGGGGTGTGACAAGCTCTCTAACTGGAGAAGGAACATCTCACACTTTTACCAGTTTGACACCCAGTTGGAATGATTAGTGCCCATTTCCCGTGCTAGGCTGGGATCTCCAGCAAGGTAAAGAGGTATCCGGGGAGCCTGCAACACGCTTGGCACTCAATAGATGATCGATAAATACTTGTTGAGTGAATAAATGAATGAACCGGGGCTCCCCAGGTCCGGATTGTGACCTTGACCTGAGAGAGCAAGGTCACGTGCCCCCTTGACTCCCTGTAGCTGGGCTGTGTCTTTACCTGAGATCCTGGAGAGTAGCGCTAGGCTTCCCACAGACACCACAGCACAGGGCGCCTTGTGGTTCGCAACCTAGCGTCACGACGCCCCCAACCGTTTCGAGGTTGCCTAGGTCTCCAGAAGGCAGCTGTCCCTTTCCCACTCCCCCTGGGGTGCACAGCAGGGGTCTCTCCGTACCCCTACCGGCAGGACTGCGTGTTCCCCAGAGACAGTGGAGGAGGAGCTGGTGCCTTCCCACTCGTCTCCTCCTCGCCATCCCCGAGGGCAGAACCGTATGAACCCCTCAGAACCCCAGTGGAACAACTGTGACTCCAGATCCCAAAGAGCAAGGCCCGTTTCCTACAACCCCCGGAAGGTCGACCTCGCTCCGCCGCCCACCTACTACCGCCACCACCAGACCTCGAGGGCGGCCCCGAGAACCTCTCCGGATCTCAAAAGGCAGATTCCGACTTCCCAACCTTCCCCGCCCCCGAGACCGCGAGGGTAGAGGGGGACGCCCCCGCCTCCGCACTTTTGCGCGGGGCTCCAGATTGTAGGGCAGGGAGGGGCTTCTCGGAAAGCGAAAGCCCGCGGGGCGGGGCGGGAGCCGTAGGAGAAAGAGGAAGCGCTGGCAGACAACGCGACCCGTCCGCGCCGAGGCTCCAGGACAGCCCGCCATGGCTGCAGAAGGTCCCGGCGCGGGGTCTGTGACCCCGGTATCCTCCACATCCTCCCTGCCCCTGGCTGCTCTCAACATGCGAGTGCGGCGCCGCCTGTCGCTGTTCTTGAACGTGCGGACGCAGGTGGCAGCCGACTGGACCGTGCTGGCGGAGGAAATGGACTTTGAGTACTTGGAGATCCGGCAGCTGGAATCGCACGCCGACCCCACGGGCAGGCTGCTGGACGCCTGGCAGGGACGCCCCGGTGCCTCAGTAGGCCGACTGCTGGAGCTGCTCACCAAGCTGGGCCGCGACGACGTGCTGCTGGAGCTGGGACCCAGCATTGGTGAGGACGTCCCCTTCCTGGCCTCATACCTGGGGGGTGAGGAGGCTGACTTTCCGCGGCCTCAGCATCCTGTCTCCCCTGAAGAGACCGCGTTTCGCCCCTCGGGGGCCTGGAGAAGCCTGCAGAGGGAGAACTATGCGGGTGCAGTTCCTTCTTAACAACCGGGACCTGCTAGGGACTGGAGAAAAGTCCGGAGAGGCAGAGATGGGAAGGAAGCAGCTTAGACAGAGGCTTTCAGGTAGGGCCAGGAGTCACAATCAGGCTTCTGTGGGGGCGTCTGGGCTGTTTCAAGTAGAGCAACAGGACAGGCCGGGGACTGACAGTGGACTGTCTTAGATACCTCAAGTCCTGGGGAAGTGCAGCCCTTCCTGCTGCTCACTGGCACTTACATAATATACACGCATAGGCGTTGGGTACACCCTCCCACAGGCAGGCATACCTTGCCGGGTTGGAATCTCTGCCCTCACTGTACCATAACCAGTGGGTCAGTCTCCCCAGCCTTTCTGGCATGCTCAGCCCCTTGCTCACATGTTCCCTGGATCGCAGAAGAAGCAGACCTACCTTGGTACCATTCTTAGGATCCCTAGGAAGGGACAGAGATATAAACCTGACCTTGATGGCCTTCCAGAAAGACAAAACACCACTAACATCCCTTTGGGTCAGTTAGAGCCAGTGGGAGCTCAACTTCTCAGAGCTGTTGAGCTGCTGATGGCACCAGTGGGCTGGGGAAGCCCTGTAGAACAACCCTGCCAGAGGAGGTGGGCAGGGGCTGGATACTGACTGTGGGTAGAGAGGTAGGCACTCCTGGGGAGCCTGCCATACCCTTGTCTCTTCCCCACAGAGGAGGATTGCCAAAAGTATATCTTGAAGCAGCAGCAGGAGGAGGCTGAGAAGCCGTTACAGGTGGCCTCTGTTGACAGCAGTGTCCCACGGACAACAGAGCTGGCGGGCATCACCACACTTGACGACCCCCTGGGTAAGGGTCCAATACTGTTCCCATGGGACAGGTGGAATAGGACAGTGTGGTGTTAAGAGCATGGGTGTTGGAAACAGATGGGCTGTGGGACCTTGGGCAAGTCACGTAATCTTTCTGAGTCTCAGTTTCCTCACCTCAGAAATGGAGATAATAGTCCTACCTCTGGGTTGCTGTGAGACTCTCATGAAATGATACCCATCTTCACGGGTGTGGTGGCTCATGCCTGTAATCCTAACACTTTGGGAGGCCAAGGTGGGTGGATCATCTGAGGTTGGGAGTTCAAGACCAACCTGGGCAACATGGTCTCTACTAAAAATATAAAAATTAGCTGGGTGTAGTAGCTCACACCTGTAATCCCAGCCACTAGGGAGGCTGAGGCAGGAGAATCGCTTGAAGCTGAGAGGTGGACGTTGCAGTAATCTTTCCTCTCCTGGGAAGGAAACTTTCTCTGAGGAGTATCATCTTGGGAAGGGTGTAAGGCCCAGGGTTGCCTAGGCAGGGGACTCTTGGCTGGACCCCTTCCAAGCCTTCCCATGGAGCTCTGACTACCACCCTGTGCTCTGCACCCAGGGCAAATGCCTGAGCGTTTCGATGCCTTCATCTGCTATTGCCCCAGCGACATCCAGTTTGTGCAGGAGATGATCCGGCAACTGGAACAGACAAACTATCGACTGAAGTTATGTGTGTCTGACCGCGATGTCCTGCCTGGCACCTGTGTCTGGTCTATTGCTAGTGAGCTCATCGAGAAGAGGTTGGCTAAGGTCAAGGGTGGGTGGGTGAGTGGGTGCATGAAGCCCTGTCAGGGGTCCAGATGCTGGGCATCTCCTCCTAGCTGTGCACTGTCCAGCCTGGGCACAGCGGGCCCCTCCTGAAGCTATTCCCAGGCGGTATGCTGGACTAAGTTGCCACAGGACCTGCAGCCTACCCACTCTCCCCTAGGTGCCGCCGGATGGTGGTGGTTGTCTCTGATGATTACCTGCAGAGCAAGGAATGTGACTTCCAGACCAAATTTGCACTCAGCCTCTCTCCAGGTAAGCTCAACCCTAGTCTGGCCAGAAAATGAAGGAGTGAGTAGGTGGGGTCTCTGGATTGTCAGCCTTCCCTCCCCAATGCAGATACAGTACCAAAGAACTCCTGAAGACCTCTACACCTGAGCTCATGTGCATGTGTGTCTTTATGTGTGAGTGAATGTGTGCCAGGGCTGCTTAGATGGGGGATGGCTGTTGTTAACCCCTGGGTTGAAGACGGGGCCTGTCCCACCATGGGGCAAGGGCCTGATGCCAGCATGGTACCCCTTTTCTTACAGGTGCCCATCAGAAGCGACTGATCCCCATCAAGTACAAGGCAATGAACAAAGAGTTCCCCAGCATCCTGAGGTTCATCACCGTCTGCGACTACACCAATCCCTGCACCAAATCTTGGTTCTGGACTCGCCTTGCCAAGGCCCTGTCCCTGCCCTGACGACTGCTCTGGGACTCTGGGTGTGTGTGTATCTGTCTGCCTGTCCATGCACTTCTGCCCTGCCTCCTCTGGTTGTAGGAGGAATCTGTGCTTTATTTGCCTCTCAATTCCTAGAGATGCCAACTCCACAGACACATCTGTCACAGCTGGACATCACATTTTATGTCCTGCATGGAACCAGTGGCTGTGAGTGGCTTGTCCACTTGCTGGCTTACCATCCAGGACAGTATGGAACAGGACCAGCTGGGACTAGCAGAGCCAGCTCCGAGCTATTCATATACCTTCAGTTTCAGTTTACCCACCTGAACAGTAGGATGGGGAGAACAGAGAGTAGTTGTGTTTAAATCCCTGTAGGAAATGGTGAAGCATAGCTCTGGATCTCCTGGGGGTGACCAATCTTGGCTGAGGGAGAGCTGGCTTTTGCTGGACTACCTGCTGGCCACTGCTGGGACCATGACACTGCTGGGGCAGCTGCTTCCACAATGATGCCTACTGATGCTTCAGTGCCTCTTTGCTCGCTTCCTGTTCCACTGCCTCCTTCCTCACAGGGCAGGTGGGGAAGCAGGGTGGCCCAGCACAAAGGGATCCCACCTTGAAGCTTATTTCCTAATGAGTCCACCTCTTATCTGCATCTTTGACACCTCCCAGCTTCTGCCCAACTTTCAGCAGCAGCAAGTCCTCGAGAGACTGGCCTGAGTAGCCCGAGCTGCTTTTCATTTCTACCTGGCAAGATGCCTGTGGTCATGCCCTCAGCTACACCTGGCATGAGAAGGGATCCTGGCCTCTGGCATATCCATCAAGTATGAGTTCTGGGGATGAGTCTCTGTAATGATATGAGCAGGGAGCCTTCCCCACTGCACCACCCACAGAGAGCTTTCCCACCAACTTCGTACCTTGATTGCCTTACAAAGTTGTTTGTTTACAAACAGCGATCATACAAGACCACCTGCCCCAAAGCTTATGGGTACACAGGCACAAACTCACACACGGACACACACATGTATATACAGACACATACTCTCACATACACAGGCACCTGCACATGCATGTTCCTCTAGGTACAGGTCCCAGGAACAGCTAGGTGGGAAAGTCCCACCACTGAGGGAGCCTAACCATGTCCCTGAACAAAAATGGGGCACTCTTATATTCCTTTTCTCTTGTGTCCCTACTCAGTGAGACCAAAGGACCCAGTGTACCAGTATTTATACCTTTAATGAAGCACAGAGAGAGAAGGAGAGATGCTTAAACTCACAGAACAATATACAGACACAGCTGTCCTGTCTCTCTCTCTCTCTCTCAACCCCCCAGAGCGATTTGTACATTACCCTCAAACTCTCCTTTGGGGAGAAGGTGTCATAGTCTTAGGTGTCTGTGCCCCAGGGCAGACCTTAGGACCCTAAATCAAATAGAAAATGCATCTCTGCTCCACTTCCAGCCAGGCTGGAGCAAGGTGCCTTTTCTCAGTGTCTTGGGAGGGACTGGAGGCCCCTCTGCATGATCTTGCTGAAGCGTTTAGCTGCCGTGCACCTGTCCCCCTTTAATACTGGGCATTTTAAAGTGATCTCTAGAAGTATCTTCTACATGTTTTATATGCATTATAATAATTTCAAAGATATCTGAGAAAAGCCTATATTTGCTATTCTTCCTGTATCCTGGAATATATCCTGTATCCTGGTTTATAATAAAGAACATTCGACCTTGGGAACGTTTGTGTGTATGAGTGGAAGAGGTCTGGAAACAGTAATGTGGGTAAGAGAATCTGGTCTACTGGGTGGGTTCCAGCGTATTTGGCAGGGGCTTCCTGAAAGCTGGGCCCCTCCTCAATGGTTCAGTCCTCAGCAGGGTTGCACGCAGAACCAGGAATACTGCCCTCAGCTACAGATATTCAGGAGACTGCCTCTGGGTCCTAGCCCAGGGCTGATCCAGGCTCCAGAGAGAGTCTGGAGGACCCCACACTCCAGCCACTGAGATTGTGCTGTTATTCCTAATGATCTTCTTTGGGCATATCTATGTTAATCCTAAAGGTACTGATCTATTTTTAAAGAAAATGTATTGCTTTTTTTACTGTTCAAGAGAATTTGGAAAATATAAAGAAAAAAAACTCAACCATAATAATCCCAGAGAGAAACTCTAGTGACATTTTAGAGCGCTCAGACATTGTCAGTGACAGTAGCTTTCGTCTCAGTGGTCTATCTGCTGCCATGTCCTGGCTGCTGAGCCACCTGGATGCTGTAGTCTCCCCAGCCTTGCCCCTGTGCCCTCAGGGACCCCTGGGAAGGCCCTGTGTACTCAGAGAACACCTGAGGCTGAAGCTTTCTCTCCAGGAAGAGAGCCACACTGTGGCCCTGGCAGTGCCCCCCAGATCTGTCCTGTGCCGCCCATGGCTAGGGACACAGTACTGGGCTGGTCCCCTTGTGGGATAAGACTCTCTTCTCTCAGGCCAGGCTGTTGACCCAAATGTGCTCTCCCCACCCCATCTGAGCTTCACACTCCTCATACCTCCCTGTCTCCAGTGTCTGCCTTCCCATTAGCTGGGTTCCCAAATGTAGATAAAACTTCCTCTTCTCATTTTCAGTTTTAGTCTCCTAGGAGCATTTAAAAGAGAAACTTTCCTTTTTCAGTAAAGAAAATTGTGGGGCTGTTGGGCCCCATAGGGTCGTGGGGTGTCCCTTATGCTGTGCTGAGGTGCAGGATCTGGGAAGTAAAGAGACAGGACACTGAAGAACTGGTGAAGAGCCGCTGGACTTTGGGGGCCACGCAACCTGTGAGTGGAGATCAGTGAGAGCTCTGAATGCCCAGAAGTGTCTGTATTTCTTAGGTACAAGCAGGGGGCAGGGTCGTCAGTGAGGTCATCATCTACAGGCTTAATAATAGGGCATACATAATCACATGAGTCACAAGTGAGGGGGCCACCTCATTATGTCACCTGGGCAGAGAGGTGGGCCATGCACAGTAGGGGGCCATGCTGTGTGCAGTAGTAGAGGGTTCGGTACAGAAAAGGAGTTCACCCCCATTAGGTCACTGAGGCAAGGAGGTGGGCTGTGTGCAACAGGTGTCATGCACAACACTTCTTATCTGGGGGCTGGAGACTTCAAAGGATTTCCAATAGAAGGATACTGTAAGCCAATGCAGTGGGAGCTGACAGACTTGTGCTCCTCTCTTAAGATATTTATGGGAGGATGATTTGAGCTAGCACAGAAGTGAGAAAAGACTGACAGGGTGTACAGCCTCCATGCCTGGTCACACCAGAGGAGTTCTTCTCCCTCGGTTATTTCCAGGATCTCAGGCCTGAGGCCTACTTTCCACAGGAACTGGATGCAAGGCACTACAACTTCTTTATCAGGAGGAGAGGCTCTTGCTCCAAGCCTGCCATATGGAGTACGTCCTTTCAGACAGGGAAGCCATGGCCTGGGTCTTTGGTTCTTGTCCTGGCCTGGCTGTTTTCCCATGTACTGCTTCTGTTCTGTGACTGCTCTAGGCATTCCTCCTACTACAAACTACTGTAAAGTTATATGGAAGGATTATGTAAATCAGCACTAAATGTGTCAGTTCAGCTCTGACTACAATACCTATATGATTATATAGAAAGATTATATGGGACTAAGTATGATTATATATATATGCTAGATATAGTAAGCAGTGAGTTATGTTTCAGGCACTAACTATGCCTGGGGTCTGCACAGTTCTCCTTCCTCAGTGCCCTAAGGGGTGTTACCCACAGAAAACCTGCTAAAATTATCAAAGGCAAAGCAGGAAACTTTGGAGAGCAGCAAAGTTGAAATTCAAAACTGCGATTCTGCATGATGATGGACCTGTATTCTGCCACAAGTCAATGTCCAGGGAGAAAATTAGGGATAGGAATTTCCTCTAGATTAGATAAGACTTGGGTCGTAACAATCAAATGTACTAATATAGTATGACTTTGCTGGATGCTGTTTCAAACAGACCAATTGTAAAAAGACAATATTGGCTCATATTTATATTATGACCCAACTATATATTTATATATATTCCAAATTTATATTATGACCCAATTACTTATTTATATATATTTTCCAAATATTAACCTTATATAAGGGGTTAATTAACCTTACATAAGGGCAAGGCTGGGGAGACTACAGCATCCAGGTGGCTCAGGAGCCAGGACATGGCAGCAGATAGACCATGAGACAAAAGCTACTGTATTTATATATATTTTCCAAATATTAACCCTTATATAAGGTTAACCCCAAATATATATAAATACATAATTGGGTAATAATATAATATAGGGCTATATAACCCCTCATATAAGGGGTTAATATTTGGAATACATAAAAAACTCTAACAACTCAACAAAAGAAACAAACAACCTGACTCAAAAATGGGCGAAAGACTGTACACATGTTTCTCCAAAGAAGATATACAGACGAGGGCCTGGTGTGGTGGTTCATGTCTATAATCTCAGTACTTTGGGAGGCTGAGGTGGGTGGATTGCTCGAGCCCAGGAATTACAGACCAGTCTGGGCTATACGGCAAAACCCTGTCTCTACAAAAAATACAAAAATTAGCCAGGCATAGTGGCATGTACCTGTAGTCCCAGACACTCAGGAGGTTGAGGTGAGAAGATCGCCTAGGAGATAAAGGTTGCCATGAGCCAAGACTGCACCACTGCACTATAGCTTGGGCAGTAGAATGAGGCCCTGCCTAAAAAAAAAAAAGAAATGAAACAAGCAAAAAGTAAAAGATATATAAATGGTCAATATGCACATAAAACTATGCTCAATATCACTAATTATGGAAATGCAAATCAGAACCACCATGAGATAGATACCACATCTTACCCATTAGGATGGCTATGATCAAAAGAAAACACCACACAATATAACAAGCATTCATGAAGATGTGGAGAAATCAGAACCTTTGTACACTTTTGATTGGAATATAAAATGGTATAGCTGCTATAGTAAACAGTATGGCAACTCCTCAAAAACTTACAAACAGAATTACCATACGTCTACCAATTCCACTTAGGAGTATATACCCCAAAGAACTGAAAGCAGAGTCTTGAAGACACGTTTGTAGACCCATGTTTGTAGCAGCATTATTCACAATAGACAAAAGGTGTAACCAAGCCAACATCTATCTTTTCTTTTTTTTTTTTTTTTTTTGAGACAGAGTTTTGCTCTTGTTGCCCAGGCTGGGTTGCAATGGTGTGATCTCGACTCAGTGCAACCTCCACCTCCCAGGTTCAAGAAATTCTCCTACCTCAGCCTCCCAAGTAGCTGGGATTACAGGCATACATCAGCACACTCAGCTAATTTTGTATTTTTAGTAGAGACGGGGTTTCTCCATGTTGGTCAGGCTGGTCTTGAACTCCCAACCTCAGGTAATCCACCCACCTCGGCTTCCCAAAGTGCTAGAATGACAGGTCTGAGCCACCGTGCCTGGCCCAAACCAACATCTATCAGCAGTTGAATGGATCAATGAAATGTGGTATACATGTACAACAGAATATTATTTAGCCTTAAAAATGAAAGACATTTTGATGCATGCTGCAATATCGATGAACCTTGATGATATTATGCTAAGTGAAATAAGACAGGCTGGGCACAGTGGCTCATGCCTGTAATCCCAGCACTTTGAGAGGCCAAGGTGGGTGGATCATTTGAGGTCAGGAGTTCAAGACCAGCTTGGCACACATGGAGAAACCCTGTCTCTACAAAAAATACAAAAATTAGCTAGGTGTGGTAGTGCATTCCTGTAAGCCCAGCTACTTGGAAGGCTGAGGTAGGAGAATCGCTTGCACCTGGGAGGCGGAGGTTTTAGAGATCATGTCACTGCGCTAATAGAGCAAGAATCTGTCTCAAAAAAAAAAAAATCACAGAGCAGAACATTGGGCTGGTAAGCATGGAAGATGCAGAGATGAGGGGGTGCACCATCAGTTTAGGGGAATATTGTCCCCACTGGCTGCTTTTTGCCAGATGACGCAGAAGAAATGTTTTAAATGCCCTTGGGGATGGCTGGTTCTGAGACAATATAGAGTGAAAACACTTCTCCTTATTCCCTCTGCGAAATACGGCCAAACACCCTGGACATTATATAAAACACAAATATAAGGAGACTCTGAGAGGTGGCAAGAAGATAGAATGTTAGGGACCTCAAGATCTGTGAAATGGCATGGCATTGGCCTAGGGTTTTCTTTTTGCCTATGCCTAATAGATCTCAGACTGAGTATGGAGAAGGCAGAAACCTATAAACTAATGAGTATGGGTAAAGGGAAAAAAGGAAAACCTGCTCTTACTAGCCAAAGGACCAGAAAGGGACAGTCTCGCATGAAAGAAAATTTGCAGAAAATAACCACTCCAGCTAAACCACAGAAAAATTGTCATATTACCTACACTCTGCCAGCAAAGGCCAAATGGGAACCTAATCTTCCACTCCCACTTGCTTGGGTGTCGGAAGGGGTCTGGTAGAGAGTCAAGACTTTCACCACTGCCCAGCATAATGTCCTCTATCATGTCAGTGGAGACCAGATGGGGAGCAGTAACAAGGCACCCTTTCTCCCTATCAGGGGAGGCTTAGTGGGCAGCCTGCACTCTCACCCTGACCCAGCAGTAAGTAGGCACTGTCTCTCTTGCTCTCCCTCACTTCTACCCTGGGATGTCAATAGAGAAACCTGCACTTCTACCTCTACCAGACAGCATTGTTTTGATGTCAAAGAAGGCTAACTAAAATAGAAGATCTAAATGAGACCACCCTTATAACATAGCGTCCAAAATGTCCATGGTTGTAAATTACTCATCGTACCAAGAACTAGGGAAATTTCAACTAGAGCAAGAAAAGACAATCAACAGATGCTAACCCCAAAATGGCACAGATGTTAAAATTATCTGACAAGAATTTTAAAGCAGCCAGTGCAAAGATGCTTCAATAAGTAATTGTGGACATGCTCGAAACAATTTTTTTAAAGTCTCAGAAGAGAAATAGAAGATATGAATAACTAAATTGAAATTTTAGCACTGAAAAGAAAAAGAAAAACTTACGACATGGGTTCTGTTGCAAGATGTCGATAGTAAAGAAGAGAGACCAATAGGAACCACCCAATCTGAACAAAAGAGAGGAATAGACTGGAAAAAAAGTATGTCTCAAGAATTTGTGAGACAACAAAAAAAGGTCTAATATGATGTATGTCATCAGAGTCCCAAAAGAAGATGAGAAAGAAATTGGAGCTAAAAACGTATTCATATAAATACGGTTAAAACTTTGCCTAATAAGGCAAAAAAAATAAAAAACCCTCATAAACCTATAGAGCCAAGAAGGTGAGCAAACCCCAACCATTATAAACCCCAAGAAATCCACATCAAGGTGCATCATAGTCTAACCTCTGAGAATTAAATAAACAAATATTGCATTAGCCAAAGAGAAATGATGCCTTACAATAATGAACAAATTTTTGAATGGCAGTAGATTTCTTTCATCAGAAGTCATGGAGGTCAGAAGACATTGACACAACGTTTTTAAAAGACTGGAAAAAAAAGAACTGTCAACTCAAAATTCTATATCCAGTGTAAACATTCTTCAGGAATGAAGAGGAAATCAAGATATCCTCAGATGAAGAAAATGACAAGAATCTGGCATTCAACAGCAAGCCTACCCTGAAAGAATAGCTAAAGGAAGTTTTTGAAAAAGAAAGTAATACAAGAAAAAAAAAACCTTTGAAAACTAAGAAAGAATAACAAGAGAAACAGTAAAATATGAGTAAACTGAGTATGCTTTGGTTTTCTTAAATTGTCAAAATTACATCTGATGGTTTAAGCAAAAGATTAGTGGTTATGTGCAGTATAGATTAAGGAAGTTGATAAGCACAGTGGTAATTTCTGCTTGAGGCAATTTCACAAACAAAAAAGAGAAATGAAATGACTACTGGCTGGGAAAAGAAACTTTGGGATCCCCACAATTTCCTCTTTCCTCAAAATATCAAACTCCTCAGGTTACCTGTCCTAAGCACTCCATGCATTGTCTGATGTGGTTTTCAAGTTATGTACAGGAAATATTTGAGACAGTTATAAATGAGGGAAGAGTCAAGGCACTTAGAGCAAGGGAAGACCTCTCTACTTCACTGAAACTGATAAAATGTTGACACAAGTAGAACTGTGATAAGTCAACATATGTATAATGTTACACCTGGAGCGCCTACTAAAAAAATCTGTTCAAACAGATGCTCTCAAACACTATAAATAAATCAAAATGAAATTCTAATTTCATTTGGAAGTGCCCAAATTATAGAGCTGCAGAACAGATCAGTGGCTGCCAGAGTTTTGGGGTGGTGAGGGAGAGGAGTGGGTGTGACCACAAAGAGGCAGAGTTTTAAGATGTTGCAGTACAGTAGCTCTGTATCTTGATTTTGGTGGTGGTTACACAAATCTATACATGTGATAAAATGGCACAGAACTGTACACACGTTATACCAATGTCAAGTTGTTGCTTTTAATATTGCACTATAGTTACGTAAGATGTATTCACTGTGGGAAATTGTACTGAGGGTATGGGAACCTCCCTGTATTATTTTTGTAACTTCCTGTAAATCTATAATTATTTCAAGATAAAAATTCAAATTTTAATTTAATGTAATTCATATAGCTTAATATTGTATTAACATTACATTTATTAATTAATAAGTAAATATGTAAGTAAATTTTTTTTTGAGATGGGGTCTCACTCTGGTGCCCTGGCTGGAGTGCATTGGCATGATCACAGCTCACTGAAACTGCAACCTCTGCCTCCTGAGCTCAAGTAATCCCCCTAGTTCAGCAACCTGAGTAGCTGAGATTACAGGTGCACACCACCACATTAGCCTACTTTTTCTTTTTGTAGAGACAGAGTTTCACTATGTCTCCCATGCTGGTGTCAAACTCCTGGGCTCAGGTGATCCACCTGCCTCAGCCTCCCAAAGTGTTGCTGGGATTATAGGCATGAACCACTGTGCCCAGTCAGAGGTAAACTTATTGATACTGAAGTTTGCTAATATTTTATATTAATATTTTATATTAATAATATAAATGTAATTTAATTATTTTAATTAAATATATGCATAAAGTAGAAACAAAAGCCTCTGGGTGCTTATGCAATGACCAAAGCTTAATTTTCCATCTTGATTTTTTTTTTAATTGCATTTTAGGTTTGGGGGTACATCTTTAAGAAGAATATTTTTCATTATAAAAGTGATCACAGGCTGGGTGCCGTTGCTCACGACTGTAATCCAAGCACTTTGGAGGCCAAGGCGGGTGAATCACCTGAGGTTGGGAGTTCAAGACCAGCCTGACCAACATGGTGAAATCCCATCTTTAAAAATAAATAAATAAATAAATAAATAAAAGCGATCATTGATAAATATATTTATTATGCATACATAAAAGTACATGTATTTTTAATCACCATTTCATTTAATGTTGAAAAAACTGACCAACTTGGTTTTTGAGGACCTACTTATTATATTGGTCCAGGTGAAAAGCAGAATATAAAGCTAAGCTAGGCATGGCTATGTTCTCAAGAAACTTAAAACCCAATGGAATAATTGAGGCACAAACACAGAAGATCTGAAGAACTCAAGAGTTAGACAACAGAATTCTCCATAACAGATGTGCTGGCTGGTGCCAAAGGCAGTATGTCCTTCAAGTCCTTCAGACCTGTGGGAGATCTTGAAAAGATGATCTTGAGGGGCTTTGAAAGGTGGTAGAAGTGAAAGGGTAGACACCAAGAGGAGAAGGAGATTCAAGCAGTAAGGAAATAATTTAAGCAGAAGGGGAAAGTGAGAGGCATATTTAGGGGCAGGGAACAGACTGGTAGGACAAGACCCTTCAAGTTCCGTAGGAATGACTGGGGGCCCTGAAACTCAGGCTGCAACAGGGAGCATGGATTGTGTCCGGCTAGAAAGGAATTGTTAAAACCAGAGGATGGAGAAAATTAGTTTAGTGGTTATACGCAAGATAGATTAGAGAAGTTGATAAGCACAGCGGTAGTTTCTGCTATAGGCAACTATTCAAGTGAAAATGAGAAATGAAGTGACTGCTGGATAGGAGGGAGAATCTGGAGTCTCCAGAATTTCCTCCTTCCTCAGATCAAATGGCCCATTCCAGTGTCCATTGTCCTAAACACTCATGCATTAATTCAACTTGCAATAACACATCCCCAAGGTCATCAGGGTGGGCCTAGGCCAAGGACATATGAGGTAGGTCTCATGTGGCTCTGGTTCAACATGGTTCTTCTGCTTGCTTATCTGTAAGTGAAAATGAATGTGTTTTAAAAACATCAACCTCAGCTGCTTCAGGTGTCACCTCTTTCTAAAACAGGGCTATCCAACAGAAATATGATCTGAGCCACATATATAATCGAAAATTTTCTAGCAGCCACATTAAAAAAAGTAGTAAGAAGCAAGCAAATTAATTTCAATAACATATTTTGTTTAATCCAAGGATCTAAAATATATAAAATATATCTAAAATATCATTTACATAAAAACGATATCTCTAAAATATTATATCAACATGTAATATATATAAAAACTATCAACGGCCGGGGGGGTGGCTCATGCCTATTATCCCAGCACTTTGGGAGGCCAAGGCGGGTGGATCACGAGGTCAAGAGATCAAGACCATCCTGGTCAACATGGTGAAACCCCGTCTCTAGTAAAAATACAAAAATTACCTGGGCTTGGTGGTACAGCCTGTAGTCCCAGCTACTCGGGAGGCTGAGGCAGGAGAGTTGCTTGAACCCAGGAGGCGGAGGTTGCGGTGAGCGGAGATCGCGCCATTGCACTCCAGCCTGGGTAAGAAGAGCGAAACTCCGTCTTAAAACAAAAAAAAAAAAACACTATCAATGAGACTTTACATTGTTTTCACATTGAGTCTGGAAAAGGCACTGCATATTTTACACTTCTAGCACCTCTCAATTTGGACTAGCCACAATTCAAGTGCCAATCACTACATGTGGCTAGTGGCTACTACGCATTGGATTGTGGGTATATGGAACACAGCTACTCAGTGTGGTCCCTGGACCAGCAATATTGACACCACTTATTAGAAATGAAGACTCTCAGGTCCTACCCCAAACCTAATTCATCACATACTGTACTTTGATAGGAGCCCCAAGTGACTGACATAGAAAGGTTGAGAAGCGTTGCCCCATGCATTTGGGTAGAGAGACCTAGGATAACAGTGTTTTTGGCTATCCAGCATCGACATTCCATCTCCTCATTTAGATTCCATGCCATGATTTCCCTCAGTCCTAGCTCCACACACAGACCAAAACCCAAGCCTCAGAACTATGATTGGTTCAGATATGTCATGTGACTTGACCGGAAGCAGTGAGACACAATGATTCCTTCCGCAGTTCCCACTGTGATTGAATGTAAAAGGCTTTAAATTCTGGAGCCACTTTGGAGCTTGCTGGGTGGAGAGCCATCATGCTCCAAAGTGGCTCCAGAATTTATATTTGTGAATGAGGATTTATGTTTGAAGCCCGTAAACAGGAGAAAACCAGATACAGATGACATCATGTGAGCCCCTGCTTCAAGCCTTATTGCTGGAATTTTCAGATATGTGGGCCAGCAAATTCTCTGTTTAAACTAGTTTGGGTTGTGTGCTAGATATGATCTGTCTTCTCCTCCACATCTCCCCTTGTTCTCCACCAGGCTCTGTGCCCTGAGATACTGACTTTCAAGGATTACATCAACAGGCTCCCCTTGCCCACTGGTTTCCTGTTGGGCTTGGCCAATGGGAGGCACCAGTAGGGAGATCAGAGAGCAGGAAAAGAATGAATTCAGGGTATTTATTCCCTTGGCTCTCTTGTGGGATTGCTGAGGGCTGATTAGACCTCTCTAATAAACGCTACAGATACTTTCAGGCAGTCTTCTCTCTCCTACCTTCTCTGCTTCTAGCTGGCCTTAGTCCTCTTGTTCTGGTAGGCGTAAGAGTGATATGACTCCTGGAGGTTGTTGGCTCTAGAGTACTGCACTATTCCATTTGGTTTCCCTGCCTATGCCTTTGCATCGCTCTTTGCACCAGGCTCTGTGACCCAATATACTGACAGGTTCCCCTTGCCCACAGGCTACCTCTTGGTCTTGGCCAATGGGAGGCATCAGTGGGAGATCAGAAAGTAGGAAAAGAAAACTTCCTTTATTAAACTGTCCTCAAATTGTCCATTTTGAGGTGCCATTTGTTTCCTGTTAGGACCTGACTAGCATAGTAATTGGTATCGGGAGTAGCCTGAAGCCAAGCCCAGCTGAGTTCAACATAGGTCAGCTGATCTGTAGACACTGGAACAAGAAGTAAATGCTTAATTTTATGTGCCACTGATATTTTGTGGTTGTCCACACAGCATCTTTGTGGCAATAACTAACCAATGCCCTCTGTACAGTGATGTGATTAAGTTATGAGGAATGGAATGTAAGAGGAAGTGATATGTTCAACTCTTAGTTTGTAACCTCAGCAGAAAGGTGTGTGCCCTCTATTTTCAAAATCTACCCATCTCATGCTGCAGAAATGTGGGTGTGGTTGTGGGAGCTGGAAACTGCATGTTGAGGATGGCACACATCAGATGGTTAGAGCCTGGGTCCCTGACACTACAGAGTTGAAGTATCAGTCAGGGCTGCTTACATTCAGACTTTTATGTCAGAGCAAAATAGATTTCTTCCCTTTCCTTTTTTTTTTTTTTTCTTTTTTTTTTGAGACAGGGTTCCACTCTGTCACTCAGGCTGGTGTGCAGTGGTGCAATCTCAACTCACTGCAACCTCCACATCCCGGGTTCATGTGATTCCTCTGCCTCAGCCTCCCCGAATAGCTGGGATTACAGGCACATACCACCACGCCTGGCTAATTTTTGCATTTTTAGTAGAGACAGGGTTTCACCATGTTGGCCAGGCTGGTCTTGAACTCCTGAGCTCAAACAATCCACCCACCTGGGCCTCCCAAAATGCTGGGATTATAGGCATGAGCCACCACACCCAGCCAGAGTGAAACGCATTTCTATCTGGCCATTGTTACAGCAGGAATGCTGGCATCCTAGTTTGGGTTTTCTGCCACTAGCAACCGAGACAAATGGGTTTGCTGCAAGCCCCTCACAGTGCTCCTGCATCCCAGCCCCTCCATGGCCACTGAGAGTCTGCTTCCTGTTCTGCTGTGGGTCCTGCCCACTTTGCTGTTGAACACTGGGCCCATCCATAATCTGCCCTGAGTCACTACTGCTCCTGTCACAAGGGCCCTCTTTCCTGCTCTACTGTCAACTGTGTGGGTGTATCCAGCTTCACTGAAGGGCTGGCTGTAACTGAACAATTCATATGTCTGCTCTGTAATTTAAAGCATAAAAATCATTAGAATAGGTATGCACATTTACTCATCCTACAATTCTATGTAAAGGGTCATAGAGGTGCGAAGGCAGTGTAGCTTCCTTGTTTTCTATAACTGAATCTTTTGAATGAACCCCTGCCCTGCTGGGTGGGAAGGGGAAATTTAGCTTGCCAATTAACAATATATCAGAGGATTTTTTTGGTGTCTTTGTGGGTAACTTGATCACTCTTAGGCAAATGCTGTTTATTAGGCCTCCTTCCCTTCTCCCTTCATCTTGCCAAGCTGGTGTCTGAGAGTCTAGGAAAGAGAAGGCTCATGTGACCTTGTGGTAGAAAGAAAGGGTTGCCTTGGGTCTCTGTAAGCAGGTCCTTGTACTGTCCTCTGGCTCTGCCTTGGAGTGCCTGACCTCATCTGATTCCTGAGTTGCTATGTCACCTGCTGAGATGCAGCGGGCCTCTTCTGGCCTTAGGAATGTGATGCCAGCATCCAGCACTGAAGTCTATAGTTCCAACCATTTTCTTTCAGCCACAAAGTCTCACCTCTGTAGGCTTTTATTTCAACTCTCTGTACAGGCCTCTACAACACCTTTCCATGCCTTCATGGGTCACAGGGAAGCTCTGTTTCTATGTAGGAATTGAAGGGGTTAAGTTATGGGCAAGGCATTCTGTAGGACAGTTTAATGTAATTCTATGTAAAGGGTCAATGTGGAACTGTATTACACTCATGCCCAACTAGACACGGCAGAGCTAACTGAATTAGCATTTACCTAAGAGAGACCAGGTGACCCATCATAGGAGGATAATGTCTTCACTGCCTGCTGGATGGGGTCCACTGCCATTCACCAGGAAAATAGTGCCAATTCTGGGGCCCAGGCCCCTTTGAACATTGGAAGATGATCTCCTCCTCAGGTAGATTGCTCACAGCTGTGCACATGGAGAATCATTCATAAATATTTGTGCATTGCATTTGATTGAGACTAAAGGGCACTTTCATTCCCATTTCCTGATGTCTTAATCATTCTAATTCAATGCTTACACAGGCAGAGCCCTCTCTAATTTTGGTAGACCCTGAACTCTAATTCACTTATTCAGGTCGGGTACCAAAGGCAAACAAGGCAAACAAAGCTTCACAATCCACTGGAAATCAAATAGAAAGCTTCTGTTTCCTTAATCAGATTTTGCAATAAGAAATGAGGCAGTGCCATGGGCAAGCAATGATGCCGCAGTGGCATGGTGTGAATGACATTATGCAGATGTCTGTTTTTCCTGAGTAAGCAGACCTGACTCAAACCATTCAGCATTGTTGCCCAATCTCTGTCTTTGTAATGCTTTATTCTATTTCCATCAACCTATAATTACCGCCTATCCCTTATTCAACACTTAAAATAAACCAGGCACTGTGCTAAGCATTTCCAGGAATTTCTGGAGCAAGTTTCTTAACCTTTCTGAGTTTTCTCATCTGTAAAACTGGCATAAAACCTTACAAGGCTATTTTACTGATTAAATGAGGTTTTTATGTCCTTTAGTGTGTTGCCTAGCACACTGTGAGCACTTAAATCTAATGGCTGGTCAGGGCTTGTCATCTGAATTCATGTTATAAAGTAAGCATTATTACATGCTGTCTGAATTTATTCAGATCCTGAGTTCAGAGAGTGGGAGATATCAAGTTATCTGAAAATAAATATGAATATTCAGTTCCTGGGTTTAGATAGTGATGGATACCTATAGTTTTGCATGTTTTATAAATTACAGCTGCCCCTCAGAGATACTCCTGCCCAAGGCTGAGAGTTGACTAGCATATTTTTTTGTAGATTTTCCTAAAAAGGGGAGAAAATCAGCTCTTCATAAGTTTTCAGACTGTCATTGTGCTGACAGGACTTAAGCCAGGCAAAACATGAAAACCCCAGAAAAATGCTTTACTTCTTTTCTAATCATAGGGTATTTCCACTCCTCACAGGGGACATACAACCTAATTTGAAATACAGAATATTCACAAAAAGACTATGGGTACATGGCACCACAGGCTAAGTACCCAGAAATGGTCTGAGAGAGGTGGTAACATACACAACTGCCCTCAGGGCTGGAACAATCTCAGAAAAAGCATTCCAGGGGGTGCAGGTGGAGCAGGGAGGGTGGGTTATCAGTTGAACCCAGCAGGGCAGATAAGACCTGGACAGGTGGAGCCAAAGAAAAGTGGCATTCCTGGAAGGAGGGATGGGCTAAGCACAGGGACTGAGGGAGGCACAAGAGATCAGGTGGGAGTGGATCGTGTTGGAGTCTCCTCAGAGTAGAAGGGGAAGGGCTGGTGTGGGGGTGACATGAACACTGGTACTACCTGAAATATGAAATCGAATTTAAATTTGGAAACAAACTTGGAAAGAGCATGTGAACACTGATGAGTAGTTGAGTACGTGTGTACCCCTCACCCAGGTTTAGAATCAGAACGTGGCCTATATCATTTTAAGTCCTCCATCTGCCCCATCTGGGCTGCAGCCTTCTCCTTCCCCCCAGGGCCCTAATGTCCCCTAACTTGAACTGTCTTAGTCCTCTCCTTGCTTTTCTTAAGCATCTAACACAGAAGTTTACTCAATTGTAATTTCTCTGATCTTTTTGTGAATGCAATCATACTCTGAATTCTTCTGTTACTTTGTTTCTATCAACATTGTTTTTCTGTGTGTGTTGAGGGGTGGAGTTATTCTGTTTTGTTTTTCTGGCACAGTCTCCCTCTGTCACCCAGGCTAGAGTGCTGTGGTGTGATCTCAGCTCACGGCAACCTCTGCCTCCTGGGTTCAAGCAAATTTCCTGCCTCAGCCTCCACAGTATTTGGGATTACAGGTGCCTGCCACCTTGCCTGGCTAATTGTATTTTTAGAAGAGACCGGCTTTCACCATGTTGTCCAGGCTTGTCTCAAACTCCTGATCTCAGCCTCCTAAAGTGCTGGGATGACAGTTGTGAGCCACTGTGCCCCACCTGTTTTGGGATTCATCTGTTTTACACAGCTGTAGGTAATTTCTGCTGCTATGTAATGTCCATTGTATGAATACTTCTACAGTCTATTGGGATGGTTTCCTTTACTTAGCCATTACAAAACTTGCTGATGTAGGTGTTCTATCTAGTATGTATTATTTGGACTACATGTACAAAAGTTTATTTTGGGTTGAGTAGAATTGCTGGGCTATAGGGGAGGCACAGGTTCTACTTTGCTAGGTAATTCCAAGCTGTTTTCCAGGGACATTGCATCAATTTACATTCCAACTAGCAGAGGATGAGAGTTTCTGTTTTCCTCATCTTGGCCAACATTTAGTATTCTCCGGCTTTTTAGTTTTTACCTATTGGTGAGGGGTCAAGTGATATCTCATTTTAGTTTTAGTTTGCAGTTTCCTGACTAATGTAGCTTAAATTTTTGATTAGGGGCTCCCAAAATACTTTTGTGAAATCAATCTCGGTGAATTGTTCCCAGCAATTTAAGTCACATTGTGTTATTTGCTATTTCTCCTTATAAAGAGCTCAAGCAATACACAGAAAGCAAATGTGTATTGCACCTCCATGCACCTTCCAGAACTTACTGTATATACTTACATACAGTTAGAAATTGAATTTACTTTACAGTTGCTTATTTACCTTAATATAGATCCCCCTATTTCTGTAGGCACAGATCTATTTCATTCATTCTTTCTTTGTTTTCGAGACAGTTCTCACTCTGTTGTCCAGCCTATACTGCAATGGCATAATCATGGCTCACTGCAGCCATGACCTCCCAGGCTCAAGTGATCCTCTCACCTCAGCCTCCCAAGTAGCTGGGACCACAGATGCACACTACCATGCCCGGCTAACACTGGTATTTTTTGTAGAGACAGGGTTTTGCCATGTTGCCCAGGCTGGTCTTGAACTCCTAGGCTCCAGCGATCTGCTTGCCTCAGCCTCCCAAAGTGCTAGGATTACGGGTGTGAGCCACTGTGCCCTGCTTACTTCATTCTTTCTAATTGTTGTGTAATGTTTCATAGTATGGATGAACCATAATTTTAGCAGTCCACACTTTCTCAATTAATTAATTTTTTTGAACAAGTAACATGGACTTATACCATCCAAAATGTAAAAAAGTGTATATCCCTCCCACTCCTTTTCCTCAACAAGTCATTACTCTTGGCCTGGAGGTAGCCAAAACAAGCATTTGTGTAGAAATTGGCTAGATGCTCACCAATGCCATCTGTTTCTTCGTCCTGAGCACACAGAAGCTGTTTCTCAGTTTCCTAGAGTTAGGTTGAAGTCAGATGACTCGGTCTGACCAACACAACATGGGAAGAGGGAACAGACAGAGCTAAGCCTTGGCCCATTTCGTGGTGTTCTGTCTCTCAACTGACTGGCTGGCTGAAGGCAGAGGATACAGCAAAGACTCCAAGAAGGCCCCAGAGGATGGTGGTGCTACAAGATGGAGACAGCCAAAATGTCTCATTCTCCTCTTGAAGGAGAGGGACCAGAGACCTCTGCACTGGACTTTATGTGTATGAGAAAAAAGCTTTTGGGTTAAGTCACCCAGATTTTTAGGTTGTTACTTCAGCTGGTATCAATTACGTTAACACAGAAAGTGTCTTATGTGTTCTGAGATGTTCCACATAATATACACAAGCAATTACCAGTCCTCTATCAAAGAACACATAGGCTGTTTCTAAATTTTCTCTATTACAATAATGACACAATAAACTTCCTCATGAACTGGGTGTTCAGACATATTAAACCTTTGAGAGTGTTTGAAACGCTGCAGGCACTTAGGAACCTGCTCCACCCCAGTCAGGTATTTCCCGTCTTTTGCTTAATTCAGCTTGAGCTCATCTAGTTGGCATGGTGCCAGCCTGGGAGAACCTGAAGCTCCTTTCGGCTCAGAATCCAGCTTCATGCTGAGACTGTACCTCCTGCACGGACAGACTTTTTTTTCTTACAATAACATTTATACATATGCATTTCTTGCAGGCCTTGAGGGCCCGTCACTTTAGACCTTCATTTCCTGGGATTGCCAAGCTGTCAGTTTCTCACCAGGCTCCAGACTCCTAGCTCAATCACGTCTCCTCTACTCTCACACTCCATCTGTTTAATCAACACTGCGCCTGAATGCATGCCTCTGCAGGGTACTACTCCAGGCACGAAGTGAAAAGCACACCGAAGGGGGTTTGGTCATTGTCACCCTCCCACCCTCCCATCATGTGAAGTGTGACATGTGATAAGAGATAGATGGGAGGAAATAAATTCTAGCAGTCTATAATCGGTCCTGGTACTGACACGAAATTGCTGAGAAAATCAGCTCAGGTCAGAGATATAAGGTTGTGCTTTTCTTTATATTCAGGTTTCTCATATAGAGAACACATTAATTTTTAGACTTCAAAAGTAGTTTTTTAATCAAAGGAGCCTATAAAACTTGAATTGTTACAACTATAATTCCCCACTTCAAGGCCTCACTAGTCTTGAAATCAGTCTTTTTTCCCTCTATTCTGCAGGCACTAAAAGCAAAGCCCTATGCAAGTATGTTGCTTAATGGTAATAAAGTAAGAAGGAGAAACATGAATATACTTTTGTTCCACATTTCTCATTTCAGACAGTGAGTCTCAACTTTTGGGTTTATGCACAGTAGCAGATGCTGTCTATACTGTGCTTATAACCTTTGGGCCTACTCTGGAGTTTGCTTTTAGAGAGTTCTCAAACAAGAGCAAGACTGCCTGTGTCTACATGAATGCATTCTCCTACCTTTGGAGCGTGCTTTTCCAAGCACTGAGCTGGGTTGAGGTGCAGGAGTGTTAATACCCTAAAGAGGAAGGGAGCTGGTGGGAGAATAGCTCAGCTTCCTTGCCTCTTAGTGAGACAATTCTGAAGTGTGTTCCATAGTTTCCCAGATGACTCACAGCAGGATTAAGCCTGGTTGCCCAGACAGTGACCCCTCATTAATGCACCCTTAATGACTGTCCTTCCTTTCCTGTCTTACTTCTCCACTCCTTCAAAAGTGAAGTCGCCTCTTGGAGCCGCCTTCTTTGTTTTTGATACAGCCTCACTCTGTTGCCCAACTGGAGTGCAGTGGCTCAGTCTCGGCTCACTGCAACCTCTGCCTCCCGGGTTCAAGCGATTCTCCTGCCTCAGCCTCCTGAGTAGCTGGGATTACAGGCACCTGCCACCACGCCCAGCTAATTTTTTTTTTTTTTTTTTTGTATTTTTAGTAGGAACAGGGTTTCACCATGTTGGCCAGGCTGGTCTTGAACTCCTGACTTTGTGATCTGCCCACCTTGGCCTCCCAAAGTGCTGGGATTACAGGCATGAGCCGCCGCACCTGGCCCTCTTGGAGTCGCCTAAACGAACTATTCGTACCCAATTCCTGGTCTCAGAGCATGATAGTGGGGAAACCCAAACTAAGACACAGGCTCTTTTTGAAAATGTAAGGGAAAACAAGGTCCCTCTCCTTAGGAAAATATGCCATACTTCCAAGAAACCTAGCTAGGATCTGGTGAAATTCTGATAAAAGGGTCACGGTTCCAGAATCATCCTACCTTCCCTCTTCCCCCATTCCCTGAAGACTACTGAGAGAGCAATATACAAGAAGCAGCATCATAATATAATAGGAATAAAAGTATTAAAAGCTTCAAAAGTGCCCCAAATCCCCACTGTACCCTGTTTAAAATACAACTGACCCTTGAACAATGAGGACGTTAGGGTTACTAATCACCTACACAGTCAAAAATCCGTATATAACTTCGGTTCTCCCAAAACTGAATAACTAATAGCCTATGATTGATTGAAGTCTTACTGATAACATAAAGTAGATTAACACATATTTTGTAGTTATATGTATTATATACTGTACTTCTACAATAAAGCTACAGAAAATAAAATTTTTTAAAAAATCTAAGGAAGAGAAAATATATTTACTATTCATTAGGTGGAAGGGGATCATCATAAAGGGCTTCTCACTGTGTTCACATTGAGTAGGCTGAGGACAAGGAGGAAAAGGAGTGGCTGGTTGGTCTTGCTGTCTCAGGAGTGGCAGAAACAGAAGAAAATCCATGCATTATTATGAGCAGACCTCACAGTCCAAACCTGTGTTGCTTAAGGTGCTTACCACATGGCTGGCTTCCTAACTATTCTCTGTCACAGTATACATGCCTTTTCCTACATGATTTGCTTAGCTGCTTACTGTTTTCTATCGGACTGTTTCCTGAAAACAGAAATTGAGTCTGCTTTGGTCACCACTGTATACTTGGTGTTTATGACAATATTCTCTTTCACATGGAAGATACTCTATAGGCTGAGAATGGGGTTGAGGTTTGGATTTCTGGCCTCAAAGAGCCATCAATTCCTTGCTCATTCAAATCACAGGATCCTAACCTCTATCAGGCTACATAGAAAAAATCAAGGAGACAGGAGAAATGAAATGAGTGGCTTTGCAGAGCAGGTTCTGGCTCAACAAATCCATCAAGCTACATGTGTGGAGGAGGCAGAACAGAATCCACTGGTGACCCTGCCTACCAAGAAATGAGCCAATTAACATCTTGAATTTTCACTATTAGATTAGTAGCTCCTATTCACTGGGGAAGGAGAAGAAAGGAGGAAGGTTGCCAAAATCTCTCCCTGAAGTACATCCTATTATATATATAATTTCTTTTTTTCTTTTCTGAGATGAAGTTTCACTCTCTGTCACCAAGGTTGGAGTGCAGTGGCACAATCTTGGCTCACTGCAGCCTCTGCCTCCTGCGTTCAAGAGATTCTCCTACCTCAGCCTCCTGAGTTCCTGGGATTACAGGCACCCGCCACCATGCCTGGCTAAGTTTTGTATTTTTAGTAGAGATGGGATTTCACCATGTTGGCCAGGCTAGTCCCAAACTCCTGACCTCAGGTAATCTACCCACCTGGGCCTCCCAAAATGCTGGGATTACAGGTGTAAGCCACTGTGCCTGGGGGCAAACAAACACACAATCTGAAGTCTGTCCATGGGTCACACAGCTCAACAACCCCGAGTTAAGAATTTCTGGTTTATAGACCTTTCTATTGGTACAAACCTTGAGGCTAATACTCACCATCAGATTTAGCTCCTTTCGGATACGTCGATCCCATCCCTCTCCTCCCTGCAGAAAGAAAAAGGCAGGACATAGGGTAGAGAAAGTGTAAGTAGTAACGGCTGAAACCACCTACAGCAAGGCCTGTGCTATGCTTTCTGGAATGGTGGCACCTTTGCTGTGCCTGGACTATTCCGTCCTCTCAATGTCCACCTGTTGAAATCATGTTAACTTTGCAAGGTCTGATACAAATGTTACTTTCTTCATGAAATGTTCTCCAATCCTACCAACCAAGTGGAAACCTGCTGGTAGCTTCTAGTTGACCGGTTTCACGGTCAGTGCACCTCCCGCACAGAGCTTGGCACAGACCTTCCGGTGCTTGCCGGTGTTTCCGAACCAAACCAAGCTCTCCTTGCCCAGTGCAGCAACACCAGATAGCCACACAGAGGTTTTGCTTCAGTAGAAAGGCAGGGTACCAAGAAAGGAGAGAACTGGGTTAGCTCATTAAGACCTGAACTTCCACGGCCTGCAGGAAAGGATTTTCTTTTTCCTTTGGAGATGGAGTCTCGCTCAGTTGCCCAGGCTGGAGTGCAATGGTGCAATCTCAGCTCATTGCAACTTCTGCCTCCTGGGTTCAAGCCATTGTCCTGCCTCACCTCCTGAATAGCTGGGACTACAGGCGCACACTGACAAGCTCAGCAAATTTTTTGTATTTTTTTAGTAGAGACGGGGTCTCGAACTCTGGAGCTTAGGCAATCCACCCGCCTCAGCCTCCTAAAGTGTTAGGATTACAGGCGTGAGCCACCACGCCCGGCTGCAGGAAAGGATTTCTAAAGATAGGGATATTTTCAGAAAAGCAGAAGTTACAATTAAAGTCATAAATCAATACACAGAGGTTATACATTGGTTTGACCTAAAAAGGCAGGACATCTCCAAGCAGGAGCTCACAGGTCATAAGTGGATTCGAAGATTTTCTGACTTGCGACTGGTTCAGGAGGTGAAGCTTTGTTCTAAAAATTTTGGATCAACAGAAAAGAATTTTAGCTGCGGCTTGTGGGCATGACCTTCTTCAGGAAGAAGAAACTTAGAGAAACAACAACAACAAAACCAGCAGCCACAGTTCAGTCCTCAGCTCCCCCTTCTCTGAGGTCTATGTGCCAGCAGATCCATTTGGTGGGGGGCTGGGTTTCTAAAAAACAACTCATGGACATGTGTTGATGTTATCTTTAGTTTTTATAGGGAACCAAACATGCCGTTATTTTAGCGTCTTTGGCTGTTGTTTTAAGTTACTACCACCTTCTTGCTTATCAAGCAGCTTATTAACTTTTCAAGGACTAAGTGCCTAGAGTTTCTCTTGAAGAAACTCAAGATTTTCATTTATTCCCATGGTTAGGGGCCTACAGGCCCTAAAAGGGGTCCCTGTTTCGTGTCAGCCGGGCTTTGGCGACGGTCTCTTCCTCACTGAAACCCCCACCTCCCGGGTTAAAGCAATTCTCCTGCCTCAGCCTCCCAAGTAGCTGGGATTACAGGCGCCCACCACCACGCCCAGCTAATTGTTTGTATTTTTAGTAGAGACGGGGTTTCACCATGTTGGCCAGGCTAGTCTTGAACTCCTGACCTAGGGTGATCCACCCGCCTCAGCCTCCCAAAGTGCTGGGATTACAAGTGTGAGCCAACGTATCCGGCCCAAGGTCTCCTCCTTATGACTACCATTGCACTGAAAGGTGTCCAACCTAAAAGACAGTTTCACACCTAGCCCTATCCCTGCTGCTCTTTACTTTTTAAAATCCAATTTACCAAGTGTGTTCAGCCTTCAGCTCGCTAATTTCTCCAACGGCCCTAACGTGGTCAAACGGAGAAAACTGAAGTTCAGTGGTGGGGGCAAGGGGTGACAGAAGTCAAGGCCCGTGAGTCGACCCCCAAACTCGTGGGTAGGTCTCACTTGTATGCCCAAGCCCTGTCAGGGGGCAAAAAACAAAGCCCCCAAGGCAGGTGCTTATTTGAGCTAAAGCTGCGAACAGACACAACCCCGTCTCCGCCCAATGCAGGAGGGAACTGCGGGAGACAGCACCGCGACAAGCGTTAGAAGAACGTCCGCCTTGAGAGAACGTCACCAGGCAAACTCCTAGTTTCACTCCGTCCGGTGGCCCAAAGCCTTTTATCCTAGTTGGCAGTGGGCCACACCCGAATGCTACCCCACCCAGCCGCTCCCTCAGGGCTTCTCCACACCCTGTGGAGCCCTTAGCACGTCTCGAGGGTGTGACGGTTACGCCGTGACGTCACTTCAGAGGAACCGAGGGAGGGGTAAGACGAGCAGGGTAATGGGGCTCTTGAAGGGTTGCAACCCTAACACAGACAAGCGCTCAGAGAGCCTGGAGGCGGGACCAATTTATGACTGACATCCACCCACACCCATTGCTTTTCTGATTCCTTCTCAAACAAACCAATGAATGCGACGACGGAGACAGCAACGTGCCCCAGGCGCTAGAAGAGGCTCTGCCTTTCTACTTGGCTGCCCTTTCGTCGCCATGCTTAGTGTGGCTACTGCCTCTGTGCTACTTTAGGCTCTCTTACGGCCTTTCGATGCCTTTGATGAAGCCCTTCCTAAGCATTTCTTCCCTTCCACCGCCAAATCCCACCTTTTCGGGTTTCTAGCTCGCTCACTTTATAGTCAGCCACACTGGATATGGCGGCCGGAGGCGGGGCCGAGGTGGGGCGTGACCGGCGCGGTGACGTCAGCGCGCTGCGTGTCGGCAGGTGGAGGGAGAAGGGAAAGTTTGGCCCGTGCGTGGGGCTGGGGTGAGGGCGGGACTGAGGGGCCGGGCCCAGGCGAAGCTTCTTTCGCTGGTGCTGCGGAGGCCGAGGACAGGACGTGGGCTGGGCCGGGCAGTGCCGGACACAGAGGAGCAAGAGGCGAGGTCCGCCGGAGCTCCGAGCCCCCGCCGCTCTGCCGCGCGGTGACCCCGCGCCCGGGCGCCGTCCGACCCGTGGCTGTTGAGAGACGATTGGTGGGGGCGCGGCGGCGGCTGGTGGGGGTGGGGAGACGCGCGGCGAGGAGACGAGCGAGGTCAGCGAGTTTGAGGGAGGACCGCGAGCCGCTGCCGCCGTCATGTCCGAGGACTCGAGTGCCCTGCCTTGGTCCATCAACAGGGACGATTACGAGCTGCAGGAGGTGATCGGTGAGAGCAGGCGCCGCGGAGGGGGGAGGCGCGGCACTGGGCGGTGGGGGACACGCGGGAACGTGGGGAGCCGCGCGAGTTCGGGGAGCGCAGCCCTCACAGGAAACCGTGGGGCGCTTGCGGTGCAAGGGGCTTGTAGGACGCGTGTGTTGAGGAGCGCGTGTGAGACGGGAAGGGGGTTTTGAGGCGCGCGCCTGTGAGGCGGGGTGGGGTGGGGTGGGGTTTGAGGGTGCCCAGGAGAGATTTGTGTACAGTGTTCTCAGATGTGTGGACAGGAGCGACCCATGTGTCTTGTAGAGAAAGAAAGTGCAGGTGTGGGACAGGCCTTTCCGAGGCTCTGGGAGAAACGGGATCTTGAAGTTGTGGCCACAGCCATCGATTTATGGGATTGTGGGATGGAAAAGGAGCTTTACTTTATTCCTCCATCCCTGCTGGAGCGAGCTGGGGGTCCTCCAGGTGAAGCTGCAGGAACCGCTCTGAGTAACCTAGACCCGACTTCCGACTCTTTCCAACTGACTTTCCAGTCGAGGAGGTAGATATTAAGTAAGTAGACACAAAGAATTAAAAAGGACCGGGCGCGGTGGCTCACGCCTGTAATCCCAGCACTTTGGGAGGCCGAGGCAGGCGGATCACGAGGTCAGGAGTTCGAGACCAGCCTGGCCAGTATGATGAAACCCCGTCTCTACTAAAAATACGAAAATTAGCCGGGCGTGGTGGCAGGCGCCTGTAATCCCAGCCATTTGGGAGGCTGAGGCAGAAGAATCGCTTGAACCCGGGAGGCGGAGGTTGCAGTGAGCCGATATGGCACCTTTGCACTCCAGCCTGGGCGACAGAGCAAGACTCCATCACAAAAAAAAAAAAAAAAAAAAAGAAGAAGAAAAGAAAGAAAAAGAAGAGGCTTTGGGAAATACTATGAAGGAGATAAACGAGATGTTCTGATAGAGAATAACATGGAGATTTAGTTAGGGTGATTTAAAGGAAAATTCTTTTTCCGAAGCGATGACATTGCAGTTGAGCTCTGAAGGATGAAAAGAAGTGAGGATTAAGAGCCTCGGGAAGATTTTTCCTTACTGAGGGATGAGGAGATTCAGTGGCCTTGAGTAGGGGAAGAGCTTAATGTGTTTTAGGACCTGAAGGAAGGCTGGCAGGGATAGAAGAGGGAAGGGAGGAGCCAGAGCTTAGGGATATTCTCAGCCTTGGTACAGGCTTTGGAATTGTATTTTATCGCTGGAGACCCTCAAACAGTGCCTTGACGTGATCTGATAAACTGGGCTGGTGTGTGAAGAGATTTGAAGGGGGTCCAGGAATACCAGTTGGCAGAGACCAAACTTGCACAAACATAGACTGTAATTCTCACAGAAGCCTACGGATTGGGAGGAGCTGCAGACTGGGGATGAAGGGAATGTTTGTTGGACAAAGATAACCCAGTGACCTTGGAAATCAAAAGGGGGTGGGTTTAGCTATACAGGCTCAGTCCAACTGACATGAGCAGACCCCTGTGTATTGGAGGAAGGAGAATTGTCTACTTTGCCAGCATCCTGCACTAAAATTAGTTTTACAATAAAAGACCAACTGAAGACTCCTTAGCTGCCTTGGGGGTGTCAGTGTTTATTTCACTGTGTTTTTTAAAAAAAAAAAAAAACAAAAAACTTTGTCAAACAATTTTTTACATTTTTTTATTTATTATTTTTTTTAAAGACAGGGTTTCACCATGTTGGTCAGGCTGGTCTTGAACTCCCGACCTCAGGTGATCCACCTGCCTTGGCCTTCAAAGTGCTTGGATTACAGACATGAGCCACCACACCCGGACAGACAGTTTGTTTTTTACTTTACTTGTCTCTTGTTTTAAAACCATCTGGGGTTAAAGGTATACTGGTTTGTGTAGGAGAAACAAAAACAAAAACACCTGGACTGAGTTTAATCTGAAAGACATCACATCTTGGCGGAAGCCACTTCTTGAGCCTGTGCCTTGCTACACACTGGGTCTTTGACATGTACTGCTTGTTTCTAAAGACAGTTAGCTAGTTCCCGGTCTTGATTGATTGCTTCCGGTTCCCCTAGTCAGAGTTTCATATTGAAGGAAAGGGTTCAATGGAAGATTCCAAAATGATGTCAGAGAAGTAAAGATGAGGTTCCCTATCATCATTTCAGAAGAAGAGTTTTTTCTGGTAGTGTGTCCATCTTTCTAGGGTGAAGAGGATGGTTGTAGTCGTTCTCAAAGCCTTTGCTGTTAAGGTGGCAAAGAATTTCAGAGTTGCAAAGGCGCTAGAGATTTTGTAATTTATTAATTTGGTGTCCTCGGACACATAGGATATCTGAGTGGGCAAAAGGGAGCTTCTCGGTCTTCCGGATAGGGTTAGTGTTCCTCACACTCACAAAGTGGTCCATGGTTTTTAAAAGGTTAGGAATGCCAATGTGACATGACCATCTTCTATAGATTTAAAACAACTTTACTGAGGTATAATTTAATATGAAATACAGCCATTTTAAGTGTGACATTGAGTGATTTTCAGTAAATTCCCTGTGTTGTACAATTATCACCATAATCCAGTTTTAGAGTATTTCCGTCATCCTCATGAGATCTCTTGTACTTTCTTACAGTTAATCCCCTTTTCCACCCCCAGCCTTAGGCAACTGCAGATCTACTTTTTAATCTCTATAGACTTGCCTTTTTTGGACATTGCATATAAATGGGATCATATAACGTGGTGTTTCATATTTGGTTTCTTTCACTTAGCATAAATATCTTTTAATTTTTAAAAAACGATTTTGAGATGTAATTTACATAACATAAAATTTACCTGGTTAAAATGTACAACCCAATAATCTCAGTAAATTTACATAATTGTTCAGTCATCACCACAATCCAATTTTAGAACATTTCCATCATTCCAGAAAGATGCCTCATGTCCATTTGCAGTTACTCCCTGTTCCCACCCCCAGTCCCAGGCAATCACATATACTTTCTGTCTGTATAGATTTGCCCTTTCTGGACATTCATGTAAATGTAATCATATAATATATAGTCCTTTGTGTTCTGCTGCTTTTACTTCACATAATGCTTTTTGAGGTTCATCCATCTAGCATGTAGCAATACATGGTTCCTTTTTATTGGACACCAGTTGATGGATGGTGGATTGTTTCTGCTTTTTGGCTGTTTGGAATAAGGCTGCTGTGAGTATTCACATCGAGTCTTCTTGGGAATATGTTTCATTTTCCTTGGATGTATACCCAGGAGTGGAATTGCTGGATTGCATCACAAATTTAACTGTTTAAGAAACTGCCAAACTGTTTTTTAGAGTAACTGTACCATTTAATGTTCCTGCTAGTAATTATGAGTTCTCATTTCTCTATAGTTGTTGTCTTTTTGTGTGTAGCCATCCTAGTGGCTATGAAGTGGTATCTCACTGTGGTTTTGAGCATCCTTTCATGTGCTTATTTATTAGGCTTTCATAGCTCTTCTTTGGTGAAATATCTATATAAATCCTTTGTCCACTTGGACTGCCTGTTGGGTTGTTTGTTTTGTTATCTGTTTGTTTTTTTTTTGAGACGGGGGTCGTGCTCTGTCACCCAGGCTGGAGTGCAGAGATGTGATCTTGGCTCACTGCACCCTTCGCCTCCTGGTTCAAGCAATTATCTTTCTCCTGCCTCAGCCTCCCGAGTAGCTGGGATTACAGTTGCCCGCCACCATACCCAGCTAATCTTTGCATTTTTAGTAGAGACGGGGTTTCACCATGTTGGGCAGACTGGTCTCCCAACTCCTGACCTCAGGTGATCCGCCCACCTCAGTCTTCCAAAGTGCTGGGATGACAGGTGTGAGCCACTGTAGTTGTTTTTTTTCTTTCTTTCTTTTTTTTTTGAGGCAGAGTCTTACTCTGTCACCTAGGCTGGTATATAGTGGCATGATCAGGGCTCACTGTAACCTCCACCTCCTGGGCTTAAGTGATCCTGCCACCCCTGCTTTGCAAGTACCTGGGACTACAGGTGCATGACACCATGTTTGGCTAATTTTTGTGTTTTTGTAGAGACAGGGTTTTAACACATTTCCAGGAAGGTCTCAAATTCCTGGGCTCAGGTGGTCCGCTTGCCTCAGCCTCCCAAAGTGTTAGGATTACAGGCATGAGCCACTGCGCCTAGCCTTCTTGCATTTTAACTTTTTTTTTTTGAGACGGAGTCTTGCTCTGTTGCTCAGGCTGAAGCGCAGTGGCGTAATCTCAGCTCACTGCAACCTCTGCTTCCTGGGTTCAAGTGATCCTCCTGTCCCAGACTCCCAAGTAGCTGGGATTATAGGCATCCACCACCAACCCCAGCTAATTTTTTGTATTTTTAGTAGAGCCTGGGTTTCACTATGTTGGCCAGGCTGCTCTCGAACTCCTGACCTTGGGTGATCTGCCTGCCTTGGCCTCCCAAAGTGCTGGAATTACAGGTGTGAGCCACTGTGCCCCACCTCGTTCGTTTTCTTAATGGTGTCTTTTAAAAGCACAGAAGTTTTGAGTTTTGATGGCTATCACTTTTTTCTTTTAGTGATTCTGCTTTTGGTGTTGTATCTAGGAAATCTTGACTAACCCAGTCATTGCAAAGATTTTTTTTTTTTTCCTATGTTATCTTTAAGTGTTACAGTTTTAGGCCTTGCATTTAAGCCTCTGATACATACTGAATTAATTTTTGTGTAGGATGTAAAGTAAGGTGAACCACCTTGTTTTACAGTTGAAGACACAGTCAGAAAGCTAAAATGACTGCCTAAAGCCGTAGACCTAATTAGAGGCAGTGGCAATACTGGCATCTACGTTTCCTGTAGCCTAATTCAGGATTCTTGTTCCTGTATCTACATTGGTTGGTTTTTGGATATGAACTGGAAGATGGGGGTCATTGTCCCACAGATTAAGGAAAATACCTCCCCCACTTCTTTTTTGAGGCAGGGTCTCACTCTGTCACCCAGGCTGGAACGCAGGGGGGCAATCCCAG